ACCTGTTCAATTTGACGAACTATTGTGACGGTGCACGCGACCAAGCGACTACACCCTCATCCCTAACCAGTGAACCAGTGACTGCGCTCTCACCTTTAGTCCACGGGCCACAACTCACACTCTTGTCTTCAACCAGTAAACCATCGGCTACACTTTGGCCTCTAACTCTGATTTTGCAGTTTCAAGTCTTCAAACTCTTGACCAACAATCACATCAAAATACCTAATTGTTAAAGTGATAGCATTCTTCCTTCTGTACATTTTGCATCATCTAACTGCTGACAATATTGAGGCAGTTTCTATTACAGTATAGCATTTTAGCATTTGGCTATTTTGACATAGTGCATAAAAACATTCGCTATATTCTCACAAGAAGCTTTCAGTGATTCAAACTTTGTGTTTTAGTGAGAAAAACAAGCAAAATTTAATAACCAAAAATTCATAGATCAAAAACTCTGACACCAGAAATTGTGTTAGTTGCTAAATAATTCAACAAAATACTGAATCAGGAACATGGAATGCATCTATTGATACCCAAGGAATAGCAACTTGACTTAACTTTAAGAGCCTGTTCAAAGCTCTGCCATACACTTAAGGTGCAGTGATCGAGCCTGGCAAGGGCAGCAGGCCCTTCAGAACACAGGAACCCAACTAGGAGAAACACGAAAATGGGATAACTGGCATCAGGCATTTTATAAGGGAAACAGCCAAACTAGCAACTGGTTCTGACGAGATTTACAGTCCAATTACAATAATAGCAAAAAGATATTTTACAATGCTTTAATATATGAAGCATGAGCAAACATTTCTAATTTCATGAAATTCCAACACATCCTGCCTTGTGCTTTTTGCTCTAGGGAAAGACCCTCCCATTATTTATATATAACTTTATAATTATTTTTCAAATAAAATTTCACATACCCCTGTATCTACAGAGTAGGAACCAAATACAAAAGTTAGTGACAGAATGCCGATACATAGTATATTTTAACAATTGTGTTCACATATGTAAGCATCCACAGTTCAAGATAAATGCAAATTATCTACAAAAGACAAAAAAAAAATTCTGCATTATAAACTGAGTATTGAACTCCTTGTACTCTCATGTTAAAGATATTTTATTGTAAATATATATTTTTAAAGTGCCTAGTCCCATTAACATTTGTAGTATAAGTAAGGTTGGGTTTATACGAGGTTTAATATATGAATTAATTATACCTTTATGAGTAATACACTGGTGTGATATCTAATACTGTATGAAAATTTGTCTCATTACCATTGTATATACAAGTTACCAAAATCGTCCTTCACTTCAGGTTTAAGTAAGCTTTTTATATTAAGCATAAAAGGAGTAATCTGCTTGTTAGCATGGTACTTATTTAGCTTTCCAATCTTGAAGTCTCCAGGTGCTAAATTATACACTGGAGATTTAAACTATAGATTGTGTTGTGCTCCACCTCAACCAGTTCTGAGACTACTCTGCTACACACTTGCCAAATACCTAACACTGCTGCAGTAAACCTTGTCCAGCTTCAAGCTTTAAGAGTAAGCTTTGCAGAACATCTAAAGACAAAATGAGTGATGAAGAGGAGCAAACTTTTCTTGAGAAGTTGAAATACTACACAACTCTCACTCTTGGCACTACGGCATGTTTATCATCTTTTGTATTCATGTTTTTGATCCCATGGGTCTTGGACCCATCAATATCAACCCTTGTGGCCAACTTTGATCCAGAGCCAGTTGTGTGCAAAACTATTCAATCGGACCACCTAATAGGAATGAAAAACTGCACTTGGTCTTCTTGTAGACTTGGCTGCACAATTGACCAATTTGAATGTGACCAGATCTACGTCAACTACATGCACGTTCCTTTTGCGGAATACGAAGGACAAGAAATTGATGATGACGATGAGTTCTGGGTTGGTCGTGGGATTCCTCTTTTCATCAACATAAAAGGCTGTGGGTATCCTCCAGGCACAAACTGCTCCATCTTTGCCGATATCTATGGCCCTGAGGGTTCTGTATTTCCTTGTTACTACTCGCGAGCAGACCCTAACATGGTCATTACTAACTATGAATGGGATACCGAGGTCCAAAACATTATCATGGCTCTTCTCATCCCTAACCTACTGAGTGGTATCTCTCTTGGAGTGGTGAGCTATTGGTGGTATCCAGGATGTCAGAAGAGACGCTGCCAGTACCAGCTACCACCAGACCAAGAGGATGCCTCCTCTAACAATGCTAATGATGATGATGAAGATGAAGATGGTGAAAAGGGAGATGAGAGAGATGGGGAGGAGAGAGATGGGGCAAATAAGGAAGAGAGAAGTGACAAGATGAATAGATCACAAGAAGAGGAAAAAGATCGCGACACAGCAATCAACATGCCCGAAGAGTAAGCAACTTCTATTTATGTTTGTAGTTGAATGATTGAAGTGATGGACTTTCATTGAAAATCAAAGACATTTTTCTTCCTGAATTTTATAGCTGAATAATAAAGTAAATAACATCTGCAATTAGAGAAATAAACCTACAATGCCCCTGTTAATACAAATGCACAATTAAGATAATTTTACTTAAATTTATTTTGTTCATTTTAAAAGAATTACAGATATTTGTCTTATTTACTCCCAAGTCCATTGTCCAGATAAAAACAAATTGTTCAAAAAAAATTTCTTAGAATATCTTATGGTCAACATCCAAGTTCACCCCTTTTTTGTCCACCAGCACTGCTATGAATGTAGGCCTACTTATTTTAGCCCCCATTTAACCTATAGGCACATACCTTCAGGAGGTAATTCTGAACAACACCCATGTAACCTGAGCTCTCTGTTGACTGGCATGAGTGTATGCACCTTAAGTACAAGGTTTTTAGTACATTATCTTAATATTCTGGTTTCTTTATTTTAATTTTGTTCAAAATCTAAAGAGTTTCTCAAACATGCAGATTGAAGATCTTGGGTCAATAGTTTGTTATTTAGGCCATTAGTTTTGCTAATGACCTTGATTTGTAATTCCTTGTTCCTGTAAAGTTTTGAATACAATACCGATTTTAACTTTGCTGCTGGAATCACATTGCTAAACTAGTTAAACATGTCAATTTTCAATTGCAAAACAAAAAACGTAAGAGCCAAAAACCTCTAGTCCTACAGTGGTCTCCCTCTTAAGCAGTACTCCAGTATATTCCTACAAACCTCAAGACTTCCAGTAATATCTCTCTCATGAGCAGTAATGTCAATTTATTCCTACTTACCTCAACCACTATGAACAGTAGTCCCCTCTCTTCAGCAGTACCTTCTATGTCAACCTACCTACTCTGGCTGCTATTCTGTTGCACACGTGTGCCCAGTCGACTACTCACAGAAACCCAAAAGTGCATATTATTGCTCATACAAGCACCTAGAAATGTATGTGGCAACTGGCTGTGTTAGCAATTATTGAGCAACCTTTGCACACACGTATAAATGGTAATGCAAATTCTTGCTACAAATGTTTTACCTATGCAGAACTATTTCTCCAATGAGCAGCAGAATTCTATACCACATGGGGGGTGTGTTGATTTCACTTTGCATTTCTCCAGTAGGCAGGATGATTCTATACCCACTGGCTACATTGATGCCCACTTCGCATCACAAGTATCAATCAATACACAGATCGAAACTTCAAGATGTCTAAGAACAGAATCCTGACACTGCAAGAGTTCATATGGAAGACTGACTATATATCAATATCTCTGAGGTCTTGTTTCCTCCTCAAGCTCTTCTTGGGGGTTCTGGCTTCATGTAATTACTAAAAATATACAAAAAGTAAAGCAAACCTAAATATTTGTTTAATTCAGATTTCCATATTTAATGCAAATTCCTTTACATTATTGTGATTTACAAAGAATAAATTTACATACTGTATACGGATACCAAACTACATTTTAAAATAGAAATGGTTTTGTAAACATTTCACTTTTGCTTGACTGATATTTCTCTTTTGAATATAAATTACACAATTACTTGGTTATCTGAAGAATAAATTCATGGCTCCCCGAAATAAATAAGCTCCAATTCTATAGTGAATCTTATCATCTCCCCTCTATTAGGTTACCCTTCCTGAAAAAACAATTTTGCTTGGCAGAGGGGGACTACTGAATCATTCCAAAATTTATGTTACAATGATGCTCAAGTTTCTCCCAAAAACCCTTAAGCTCACATTGATCCTCTATATAAACTCCTGGGTACACTCTAAGATTCCATGGCCCCTACCCCAAAAAAAACACTATCATATATTTTCAAACTTTACACACACACACACACACACACACACTAATCTCTTTGCTTTCATGCTACTGTACTTAATTCTCCATTTTTTTTGTACTGCATGTCTTAGGCCCTACATGTATAATCTTAAGTTATTTTTTTTACTTCTACCATTTTTCTTTAAATTCTAATTTACTGCTACCAGATAATTTAACATTAAATTTGAGTGAGATCTATGAAGATTTTGAAGCACATTTTGCACATGCATCATATACCAATGATAAACAACTTACAAAGTAAATGTAGGTCAGTAACTATGTCAATGAATGCAGTATTTTTATTACAGCTTAGGATATCCACTCACCAGTGATGCAAATTAATTTATATGTAAGATGTACTTCTGGAACTGACCCTCTATGCATGTGTGTGTGCAAGATGCACTTCTGGAACTGACCCTGTATGCAAGTGTGTGCAAGATGCACTTCTGAAACTGACCCTGTGTGCGCAAGATGCACTTCTGGAACTGACCCTGTATGCAAGTGTATGCAGGATGTACCTGTTGAATTAACCCAGTGTGCAAGATGTACTTAATGAATGGATTATTAGCAGGACGTACTTAAATTCCTAATTGACCCCCATGCATACATGACAATCATCTTGAACTGACCCCATGTGTTCATAATACTGTACTCATTTGCATCTATGTATGAAGAATTAATGTAAAATACTAACTGCTTGTTGATGATGATTCCAGAAAAGAGTGACTACTGGATGGCGGGGCTGTCGGACAAGGTGGAGGATGAGCCTGCTGGTGCGTCGCTACCCAGGGCAACCACACCGGTTCAAACTACAGTTTAATCGTGATTTCAGTTACCAGAGGCTATCATTCCCAGTAATGATGATTATCCTATCTTTAGCCCCAAAATAAGGGCACCTTCAGTCCTGGAATTATGAGGTCATCTTCAGCCCCAGTATGAAGTCAGCATCAGTATTAGGTCACCTTCAGCATCAGTATGAGATCGCCTTCAGCCCCAGTATGAGATCGCCTTCAGCCCCAGTATGAGATCACCTTTAGCCCTAAGCATGAAGTCACCTTGAGCCCCAGTATGAGGTTACCTTGAGCCCCAGTCTGAGGTCACCTTCAGCCCCAGTACGAGGTCACCTTCAGCCCCAGCATGAGGTCACCTTCAGCCCCAGCATGAGGGTCACCTTCAGCCCCAGCATGAGGTCACCTTCAGCCCCAGTATGAGGTCACCTTCAGCCCCAGAATAATGAGGTTACCTTCTCACTTCACATTACATCTTAGCACCGCAAGCTTCATAGAGATTCCTCGAGTGATTATACTGGAAGCAGGCACCAATGCAGCCTTTCTAAGCTATCATTACTAAAAACTGTCTTTGCTCTTCTATTACATGTTATGAACTTAATGGAAGAGACAGCTTCAGATATGCACTGCATTTACCTATGATCAGCAACAAGTTTGAGATAGATTGACTTAGTCTGAACCTCTTCTGGAAATATTTATTGTAGTTGTAAACATCTATATAGTTATTTTATTTTACAGTAGAAGCAAATGCACTAATAATTAATCTGACTGCAGATTTATATATAGGATGATTGAAATACAGTATATATTATTACTATAAATATTAGTACAGTACTTCAAGACTTTAGTGCAGCAAACTTTCAAATGTGATATTTGTCACATATTGATTAATAAAAGGATTATTAACACTTAAAATGCATTTGACTTTATTATATATCAGTTCATATTGCTAGATAATCAATATCTATAAAATTACATTATCAAATAATACCTGCACTCGGAATATTCTGCCTACTAAACACTATGTTGAAAATTAATTAAATTGTTTTAGAACTCATTAAATGTGTAATCAATTGTAATAGATTTTATTATAAATTCATGCACTCGATTATAAAAGTTCTAACTGGACAATGGTACTACAGTACTTACATATGAATGAATGAGGCAAGGCAGGTCTCCAAAACATACCGGCAGCAAACTATTCAGCAGACTGCCACATTTTGATTAAGTTTTCTTACTTTACAAAATAGATGCAGTCCTGGAATAACATACATATTTTATCCTAAGCAACACATTTTATTATTAAATTTTTTAATAAAGTGAACAAAATGTGTGTCTTTCAATAGGGTTACAAGTGATATGTATGATAAGGCTAGCACCAACACGAAGCATTAATTTTGTACTATTGTTCATTAGGTAGTACATTATTGTACGTCTAATAGATTTTTGTTAACTTTCCAAGAATTTGGAAATATTACATTTCAATATGAAAAATACTATTGTGCTGTACTATATACACTATTGTTACATTTTATGGGCATGTCACATATCACTTGTCACACCATATGCATTCTAAAGCCAATTGTATCTACTTAACTGTTATGTAAGATAGTAAATCTACTTGTATTTTAGGTAAAACTTGCCTAAAGTTTTTATGTAAAGTATGGAAACAAAATTATGATTTAACTTCTGCCATCCAAAATTGCTGTCCTGTTCCAAATAGAAAAAGTAATCAATGACAAATAGATAGAGATGCCAAGGTAGCTACAGTACAAGTGAATATTTAACTCTTATTCTATCATGTACCATACTGGCAAGCCTTCCAACTGAACCTTAAAATACTATAAATTCTGGTGGATTGATATAAGCCCCACAAAACCAGACTACCCTTCCATCATGGTTATGCGAGACACACACACAACCAACCTATCATCCTATCATGGTTATGCAAGTCACACACAACCAGGCTACCTTCCCTTCATAGTTACATCTTTATCAGTGAGAAAGTTTGACTGTTAAGTTTTGTAAACATTAATTCTAGTGTTGTATCATGTTGTTATTATAATTAGTTAAAATGTTACTGTACTTATTTTTTCTACATACTGTATACCTTATTCAATGTTGTATTCTAAAAATGGCAAAGTTCAACGAGGGAAATGCAATGGTACAGCCTCGAGATTTTAGCATCCACATTAAGTATATCGTGACATATGATAAGTACCTGAGTTCTGGTGTGTGGATACGTTATGGCAGCTCCATCGTATATAGCACACAAGCTTTCCAATACAGATAAGGCTGAGACTAGTTATGAGGGAAGGAAAGACCTAAGTGATGGTGCCATAACTTACCTTCAGCGACAGTTACAGATAATTTTTGGGAAAATAGCTGGACTCGGGAAAGTGCCAGCACACATTGTCAAAAGAATATGCTGGAGCATACTGCCATTTTGTCGACAAATTTTAATTATTGTTGCAATATCATGGCTTTACAAACTTTGTCCATTTGAACTGGGCACTACAAACAAATTCATATGCACAACTTACAGTTTTCTCATTTAAATTATATGAATGGGTATAAACAAGTGTTACACCTTATTCATTAAACATTTTCAATTGTGTCATTTATCAGTTGTGTGAGAACTGTGAAAAAATGGAGGGAGCTTTACATGTTATAAACACATTAGAAATTAATATAAAAAATTAGCAGATTATTTAACTACTATGGCATTAAAGCTCCCTTCTGGTTACCTTTACTGTATATATACATATATTTTTTTCATGCTTGTTCTAGCTCTGCATGTATATATATATGACAGTGCTAAAGTACTCATATACTGTTGACAAGTATTGTATTGTTAGGCATCAGTTTAGTTATAACTAGGACATGCAGCATACAATGACCTGGTGCTATTAATGAAGAGAATTTTAATGCAGAAATTTATTAGATAAATTCAATTTACCACTGTTATATAATTCATGATAGGTTTAACAAATTTAAAGGCTATAATCTGTCCAAAATTAGTTGTAGCCATTTATAGATTTGTTTTCCAAAATGTTTAAGCGCTTTATCTACCCATTATCTTAAAATATTAAACAGCACAATTATTATAATAAGAGAAAATCTAAGTCACCAGGATTTGTTGCTTGATTGTGCAACATTCTCATCTGTAATAACTTGCATATGCATTCAGAATACATCTGCACAATATTTGTGCTTGTTGATGCTTACATTTCTACACAAAGTTTGCAATAAACATTGCTCAACAGTTTGTTTTTCCATGTATTCCTAACCAAACAAAAAATTAACAAATTAAATGTTAATAAAGTCTAATGACACTAATTATGCATCGAAAAAAATTAAATTTACGCTAGTGAAAATAAATACCGTACCTGCAAGAAACGCCTGTACTTGTATGTATGTCAGAATTAGATACATACCACATTTCATGCTTTCAAAAAACTTGATAATATACTGGTACACTAAAACTTAAAAAAAATTGAATGAAAACAAAAACAAAATCCATATAAGCCTACCTGTGCTTCTCACAAAACAAATTTTTTTTAATGTTGGCAACTGTTAATAATTTTGTGAGTGTGTGTGATTCCTTTTGATTACTACAAGTCAGGGCCAATCAGTGGTAAACTATATTGCACTCCCCCGTTCCTTACTCAATTTATGTGGCAAGACCAGCTCTCCAATCCATGGTGGACGGGCCACCGAACTTTCAAGCCTCCTCTCTCCACATCCAAATCCTCTTCCAAGAATTTCATCGCCCCATCCTTCTTCCTCCCACATCCTTTCCAAGCTCTTTGGAAATCAAAGCTAAAACCAGCTGGAAAGTAGGCTAAGTCACATTGAGCCTGGCAGTGAATGGCACTCAAATTTATTACTCATCAATATTAAGAGTAGAATAAAATGATTCTTGAAATCAAATACAACAGACATAATATGCATTAAATGTGATCATGCATTATTTGTGTTCAAATTCACTCAAAGGTTAATATTATTTACAAATTAATACCTTTCCTTCCATAAAATTATTATGAATGAAATTGCAGGAAATATATAAACAAGTGATTAAGGCAAATATTTTATTAACACTGTACATAATTCGAAATCCTATGAAATACTTTAATAAATTTGTTTGGCTCATTTTAAAATAATTAATAATTTCAATGTTGGAATCTTGTACCAATTCCAACTTTTACTGATTAAAATAATTTACATAAATGTAAATCATTTTAAATGATTCCAAACATTATCATTAGTTTTTATTTGTTCTTTACAGTAACTTTTTTAACAAGATCAGCACCAAGAGTTTGGAAGTCATCAAGAATGGCTTCAATATTGGCCACTTGCTTCACCTCCTTCACACCCACCAACTGATGCCCCTCCAGTCCACCCACCTGCAAGATTTCATATCATTAACTCAACCATCAACATTTACAACTTGCCAGTAAATGAACAATAATGAACAAGCAACATTATACTGATGCACTAAAAATAAGAAGAAATAAGCAATTCATAAATATGGACAAAGCTAAATACTTATTTCTCAGCTTGGAGTAAAGTTTCCCGGATCACTAACGTAGGCAATTGGTGTTTGAATCAAATTTGACATATGCAGCAATAGTAGCAGGCATCTATCAGTCTCGGGAGACTATGGAGTTGTGCTTTGGTTGTCGGTCTAGAGTGGCCTCTCCAGGGCACAAAGTCTGGGCAGGTCGATATTTAGAAGCTGTTACCCAAGCAGCAGGTACCCCTCTCCACGGCACCGAAAGTCTTCAATGGAAAAGCAAACGCCAATATGTTTGGTTCCAGGACCATCGCAGGAACTGTCAGAACGAGGTTGAAGGCAACAATAAACTGTCCTAGGGGTTCCAGCTTCGGAGGTTACCTCGAGGTTGGTAAAAGAAGGCCCAGGAACTCCAGACCAGGAGACCGCTGTGGTCGGAACCGGAGAAGAACGACCCCGGCAAGGGCTAGAACAACCCCGGTAAGGGCTAGAACAACCCCAGCCTCCTGAAGCAGAGCTTGGACCACACCAGCCCCAGGAGGTGGATGTTTGAGCCCCACACCTACGGGTTCCAGACAAGAGATCCTCACAGCCCCCGTTCATACAAGGCCGGCTTCCTTCATGACCCAGCAGAAGGAAGAGTAATAATTATTATTATAATTATTATAATATAATTAACTAATTAATAGTTATTACTTTTCCTTCTGCTGGGTCATGAAGGAAGCCAGCCTCAGATGAAAGGGGGGCTGTGAAGCCACAAACACTGAAGATGGGCAAAATGAACCCACAAAACAGTAGCTGACTAATAAGCTTGATCTTCACCAGAAGGGTCAGAGAAAAGAGAAACATGAGTAATAAACCCCATAGGAGACTGGGATGTGGGTGTCACTGACCCAACAGGCAGCATAGCAGAGGCAGAAGAAATTATCGTTGCTCTGTAGCATGGACAACACAGCCTAGATAATGCAGCTGTGAAAGCCTACCTTGGTGAAGCATGTAAAATAAGCACAGGAGTCTCTAGTGCGCCTCAACTAGGCAAATGTTTGCCCACATCCAAGGGTCTATACAGAGGAGCAAAAGATCCCTGACACATCCAAGGTATGGCCCCCACCCTGGTGGTCCAGCCTCTATAGTGAATTCCCAAAGACACCAGAAAAGAATTCTGTCAATGCAGGAGCAGCACTGGAGAACAAACAGGGAAGGCTAGCCCTGAACATATGCATCTTAAAGTGCTCTAAGGGACCATGTCCACACAACAAAAACCGGACAGAAAACACACTTGTGATGCCAACTAAAATCAAGAAAATATCAAACAAATGGCCTCTGCTGGACAAAGTTCAAGGATGGCCAGCACTTAGCTTAGGAGCAGCAGGACCTGCATGACTAGTAGACAACCTAGGAACCCTACAGTGGACAGCTGTGTCTACATCAGTGACAGAACTGGCTTAGAGGATTGGGGGAAGTCCTGGAGCTCTGCCTCCTTCCCCTCCCACCAGAGAGGGTGTAGTGCTAACAAGCTTGCATTAGCTATTACAGATTAAATTGTTTGCTTACACTGTTTGGGGGCAAACCGTCCTCGACTCAAATCCATTACATCCAGTGGTCAACCTCACAGACGCATTCATAAACTTTAACATGCTGTTCATTCAAAACGGGAATTTTCTCAAATATAAATTAATATTATAATATATTAGCATATTGTATATATATAGACATAGGTTAGGTTAGGTTGTTAGGTTCTGTTGGGAATTATTTGTATTTATAGTACATGGGTGAAGCATTTACAGCGTTGTGGGAGTGAAACAAAATTTGTCAGTGAAGCACTTGTTCCGGAAGGGTTCGAACAAAATCAGTTGCGAGTCGTGTGTAAACCGTTTTTCATTCATAAACAGGGGGTTTGGCAGATGCATGGAATGGACTGGACTTTGGGTCTTTGTTTGGAGGACGGGCTGTTGGGGGGAGTTTGTTTGGCAATCTAAAGCTTTAGTGTCTCTGAACCCAGTAGTGGTCTGTAACAATTCAACGACTTTCCTGGCTGCTTTCCTGGTGGTGTCGTGGTGTGTCACCCACTTTCTGCACCACTGAAAGGGAAGGCCAGGTTCTGGCTCTGGTCCCCAATAGGCCAATCAGAACTCCACAACTGATAAGACTTAGCAGTTAGGAGCCATCTCAGCCTCAGGGAGTCACAAGGGACTCCCACAGAAATGACCAGAGAAAGCTACTGAAGATAATAAAATAGTGTTATTTGGATTTAACTTTTAGAAGACAATGGAGGCAAGTCTGACCTTCAGTTCCTGCAGAACAAGGGCCTGTGGCTTCCAAACAACACCAATGAACTTCCCGCCATGCTCGTCATAGAAGAACAATGCCACGTGATTATATGTATCCTGGAAAAAAAATAATTGAATAGCTTATCTTATTTAATGGTATGAATCAAATATTAAAAATTATTCCCAAGAGAATCACTGTTTAAAAATTATTAGATTCTTGAACACAAAACATGTTCAATGTAAAAAAAAATTTGAATGATCTTAAAATTAAAATTTTATGAGATACTAAAAGAAAATTAAAATTTTCTAGTAAATTAAAACATACATTACTTTCAAGATAGTTTTATGTATTAAGCTCATGAGAAAACTTTAAAACAAATTTATGATCATACAATAATTATAAAAGGATTATTGTTTAACTATAAAAAGAAAACAATATTAACACTTTCGCGCTATCTGGACGCGCCGGCGCGTTCGGTTTCGTCTAACGTAAACGCATAGTGGACATAAAGTTATGTCAACTTTTAAAATATTTGTATAAAATTCAATTTTTATCCGATTTACTTTGGGTTTGTTTCAAACTGCGCGCTATGAGGCTCTCTTTCTCACCACTAGGCTGCATGGTACAATAAGTTCATGAATGGTGTGGATAACTTCGATCAAATGGTATTTTGTCCCAAACGGGTTGCAGGTGGGTGACTTTAGCCGTTTATACTGGTAATTCTTCCCCCATATCATGTATTATATGCATTTGTCTGTTTAGGGAATTTTATTCCGATCAATATACAACCAAAAATAACTGTGTGCAACAAGTATAATCTTGACAAACATAACAAAAGTAAAAATATTTCGTGTGTGTTTGACGCTCACTGATATGTTCCAGCGTTGTTTTATATTTGTCGCTATTCTAACTTACGCTTTGTTGATATTTTTTACCTATGGGCACATAGAACATTCTATTGCAAACACATTGACATAAAAATGAATGACGTACATAGAAAATTAATGTCATGAGAGTGAAATAAGTATAAACTTTCAAAGCGCCGTGCGTCGTCCCGTCACCGATACCGGGTAACAATTTCACCACTTCCCACACTCTTGCGGGCGGGCTGCATCATTATTCTACGCTTATATTCATATCACCGTGTTGGGAATTTCATTGCGAGTCCATTGATACCCAAATTAACGCTGTAGAGCAAGTGTGGAGGTGATTACAATCCCAAGAGTAAAAACATTTTGTTGCTGATGGGCGCTCACGGCGAGTCATCTACGTAGTTATTTATTTGGTGCTGGTATCCCTATATGTTTCGTGACTTATTTTACTAATGTTCTTCTAGAGAATTTTATTGCGAACACGTTGGAACCAAAATGAAATACGTAGCATGAGAACTAAGGTCAGAAGAGTAAAAAGAGTATACACATTTTTGTTTTTACGCTTAAGCGATAAAAACGCAGCGCGCACATTCGGTTGGCTGAGTGACCTTTGCGGAGAGCGCGAAAGTGTTAAGTGAATATTGGTAATAGTAATGATGAATGGGGAGGGAAGGAAGAAATTATCAGGGGAAAGCAGCAAGCTTTCTAGTAAGCGTCAAGTAACAATGGCTATATAGCACTTGGAAAGGATCAGGATAAGGATTTGGGATGGGACAGGGGGAAAGGAATGGTACCCAACCACTTGGACAGTCGGGGATTCAACACAGACCTGCATGAAGCGAGACCATGGCTCTACCGTCCAGCCCAAGTGGTTGGACTGATGAATGGGGAACAATGGAAGGGAATTGATGAACGGGGAACAACAGAAGGGAATTTGATGGACGGGGAGGGGGGGGGGAACTATAGGCTGGAGACAATGTATGGAGAGCAATGAAGGGTCATCAGTGAAAGGTGGAACAATGGAGGGTGGAACAAGAGAGGGTATAACAACGGAAGGGGGTACCTTGCGTTGATTTGATCAACGCCTCCACGGCCCGGTCTCTGACCAGGCCTTCTAAACAATGGAGTAACAAAGGGGGGAAAAAAAAAAGAAAAAAAAAATAGGGTGCAACAAGAGAATAAAGAGTGAAAAATAGGATGCAACAATGGAGGGTGTAACAATGAAGATTGTAACTATAGAAGGCATAACAATGGAGTAACAATGGAGGGCATAATAATGGAGGGTGTAACAATGGAGGGCATAACAATGGAAGGTGTATCAATAGAGGGTGCATCAATAAAGGGGGAATCAATAGTGTGTGCATCAATAGAGGGAACATCAACAGAAGGCGCATCAATAGAGGGCACATCAATAGAGGGTGCATCAATAGAGGGTGCATCAATAGAGGGTGCATCAATAGAGGGCGCATCAATAGAGGGCACATCAATAGAGGGTGCATCAATAGAGGGTGCATCAATAGAGGGTGCATCAATAGAGGGTGCATCAATAGAGGGCGCATCAATAGAGGGCACATCAATAGAGGGTGCATCAATAGAGGGTGCATCAATAGAGGGTGCATCAATAGAGGGCGCATCAATAGAGGGCACATCAATAGAGGGTGCATCAATAGAGGGTGCATCAATAGAGGGTGCATCAATAGAGGGTGCATCAATAGAGGGCGCATCAATAGAGGGCACATCAATAGAGGGTGCATCAATAGAGGGTGCATCAACAGAGGGCACATTAATAGAGGGCACATCAATTGATACACTCTATTGAAAGGTGTAACAATATAATATGCCAGGGACTTTTCAGGTGAAAATATTCTTCCAAATGTTAAGTTTAAACAATTAAATTAACTTTTGATACCCTATATAAATTTCAAATCACCTTTACACTCTGAAGAGTAATGAATTATTTTCTTTAAAGAAGTGTTGATTGTAATGAAACGCCATTTTCTGGGCGAGTCCCGGAGGCTCCTCGGAGCTCTCCAGGCTGATATGGATATCCCGAACTTTGGTATCAGTCAATGTGGGTGGGGTTCTAGGCCCACCTGGGACCATGAGCCAGAACCTGGCCCTCCCTCAGAGAGGTATGTGGACCAATGGCCCATAGAATGCACATGTGATTTTAGAGCATTCTATATCTGCCATCGACCGGGACAGGCACCCAGAAAGGTATGCACCACAAAACAAACCCCTATTCTGGTAAAAACAATGAAAATAAACAAACGAGTGGACAGAACTCAACAATTGAAAACGAGCAAACAAGCATGACGTCACACGAACCACACCGCATGTCTGCACAGCTCCCCCCTCCCTGGGAGGGGGAAGGGGGAGCCCCAGACCCCGGCGCCAGTGATCCAACTGGCAGTTCTTAGGCTGGATGTCAAAATACGCGAAAAACGCCGCCGACCGAAGGGAGGGAGGGATGACGAGGAGCCTCCGGGACTCACCCAGAAAATGGGGTTTCATTACATTCAACTTTGGTTTTCTGGGGGGAGCCCTGTCAGCTCCCCGGAGCTACCTCACCACAAATAAGGAAAACAGGGAAGGAACCGGGAGGCGGACACCACGCGCCCTAACCTAAAAACCAAGACCACAGACAAAACAAAGACCAAAACGAGAAGAAAATAGACCACCCAGGCCAATAACCAGGACGGCACCAGAACTCAGGAGGGGGCCGGAGGGAAAACAATGCCCATGACAGCAAGCGGAACGGAGCAGAAGGAACTGCAACACCGAATGCAAGCAGAAGCGGCTCCGCCAGCACCACCCAATACGAGTTGACAAGACACAGTCCCAGACAACTGCCCCGGAACAACCCCAAAGGGAAGACAAGCCAACCTTATCAGAGACCAAAAGACCCTTTGCAGTGATAGGAAAACCGAAAGGACCGCCAGGAAAACTACACACCGCCCCCCAATAACGAAACACGCAGGTGGGAGACCAATAATGAACCTACCAGTGCTGACACAAATTACAAGAAACGAGCACCACCAACAAAAGCACAAAACGCGAATCGAAAAACAGCAACCCCACAACCCAAAGGAGCAACATAACCAGCTCCAGCAGGGAAGAATGACGCACGCGTCCCCGAGGCACCCAAGAGGAGAACTACACAGGACGGGAACTGCAGGAAAGCAAACACACCCGTACCGGAAAAGGAACAAAGAAAAACTGGAGCCAGGACCAGAACCCAGCTACCGGTTCCAAGAAAAGGAACCAGTAAGGCAGGAGCGGCGGACCAAAAGTCCACAACCCCCCGCAGACAGCGCAACACCGAAGCCTGCAGCAAGTCACAAAGAAAATCATAGGAAGTCAGTACCAAAATGGAACACCGGAGAAGTCCAAAAGCAGGGAACTGAACATGGACAGAGGCCCACCCAAGCACCCAACATCAGGATAGTCAAGAAGCACCGACCCAGATACACAAACAAGTGTAGCATAGGAGGAAAAACAGAAATTGGTAAGGAAAACCCTGAATACAGACCAAGGAGTGGCCGGGAAGTAATGCACACGACCAACCACAAAATGTGTAGAGGAGGGCGTACATACCCGAGGGACCTCATGGACAGCAGGGTGCAGCCAGGCACCGAAGATAGGCAAGGAATGAGTGTCCAGATAGGGAAAAGACCCAGGTGCCGACAACGAAACCAAAAGCACCAAAATGTGGGGCAGAGCCCCACAGGACAACAAAGAACAAGAGACATGGACAAAGGAGTCACTAAAGACACACGCAAGGTGACCAAACACAACACACCACACCAAACACCCCTGGTAGGATCCATCGATGCAACTCCCGCCAAGCGGGGAAGAGTAAACAAGGATAGAGCAGTGACCAAGGGTGGTGTAGTGAGTATAAGATCCCAATAATATACTCGCTCCAAATGCATTAGCCAAATGAGAGAAGCAAAGCTCTTCGTAATACTAATTATGACACTCAAACCTTTCCCTACTTCCAGATAATGTTCCAGCCAACCTTTGAAAAACGGTGAGGTGTTGCCCGAACATATAAGCAGCAGAGTAGAGAATAATAACTAGTCTACTTTCAAGTGTGGTCTAGAACAGACACTCACGAGATACTGTACCAACTCCCAGTGCGCTCAACTCACACCATTGCTCGCCAATGTATCACCTGCATACTTCTGTATACTCGACCAAATATATTTAATCTCTTAGTGTTTGCATTTATTGTCATCGTTCTTTACATAACAATAGAACTGGTACAGTGGCACACGCCACCCTTGTGGCACATTTTGGACACAAAACAATGGGCATAAAATGGATAAGTGTAGAATTAGGAAAGACTTGAGGAAATACTGGTACGGTAACAGGTTCGTTGATTTATGGAACAAAGTACTGCGTAACGTGGTGGCAGGGTCCAACGATTGGTGCAAGCGTGGGTTGGACATGTATATGAGTGGGAATGGGTGGGAAGAAATAGGAGCTGCCTTGTATGGGCCAATAGGCCCTCTGCAGTTCCTCTGTTCTTACGTCCGTATGTATGCACAAGGGGACAAGTCGCATATATAATGTGACTTGTTTTAAAATGTGAGACAATGTCTTGCGCCAACTTGAAACAAAAATGAACAAAAATTGAGGTGAGAAAACTGGAAAGAGCTTAGACATTGGAGTGTGGTTGTGCGCTCACTGGCACTGCCCGGCCTATCTTGCAGTGCCCTGCAGGTGGCACACTAGCCCAGGCAAAGTATTAAGCTTCAGAAGTATAATTAAGTCTCTGCATACATTTTGATTCAAGAGCAAATCAAAACAAATAATTTAAAATATATATAAAACAGTCTTTAAAGCTTTACATGATAAATTTCTTAAGCTGAAAATAAGAGTCAATATATAAATAAAGTAAAACTAATAACAGAAAAAGCTGTCAACAAACCCTTAGTTCTTTTAAATACAGAAAAGGTGCATCAAACATCACAATAGGCATTATTTCACTGGAATGATACTCATAGGGTTTGATATTCTTTGGGATGAATGAAGAGTTTCTAATGGATTCCTCGTGACGGCACAGATGCTTAGAGTTCAAGTGGATAACAACGTCATAGTCATCAGATGAAGGCAGGAAAATCATCTGAAAAGATACATATGGATTTAAGACAACTAGACAGATCAAGAGTAAAATAACCAATATATTGCAGCAAGGAAAAATACTGCAAAATACGAATCAGACTTTCAGTTTGATAAAACGTACCTGACAAGATCATTTTGCCTTCCTTAGCTATGATCATGGGTGAATAGTCAATCAAGTTAAGAATGATCAGCTGGGGCAGGTCATAAAATAAAACTCCAGTCCCTTACTCTGCTTCCTTCACTTAGGAATTTTTGCGGACCAGCAATAAGTGGCTGCACAACACAATACACAGTTTTAAATGTAATGATGATAAGATTAAACAGGGAATCGAGTCACTTCATTGACCTGTAAAAAAGTATGGAAGTTGATGCTCAACCCATTTCCCTTCCCTTCAACTCAAATATATCATCACAGTGTACACTAACTTTGCTTTCAATGTTTTATCCCCATCACTGGCCCTTCACTTCCCAATCTATTTTCCCGTGGTCGAAATTATCAAATATTTGTTTGTCTGTCGTAACTTCCCTTACTAATGATCATTTTCCATAATTAAGCTGTTTTTGTGGTTTTCTTCTTACCTTTCCCAGTTTATAAGTCAATATTTTCTACTGTTGGCAGGCCTTAGATCAGTGGTTCCCAACCTTTTTGGACTCTGCCCCATTTTCTAATTTCAAAAGCCCTGCGACCCCCCCTGCCACACACTGAACATAGTATGTTCAGTTGTTATGTTTTCAAGTTTTTCAAGTTCAAGTTTTCAATTAGAAATAAAGAGAAAGAATGATGACTAAATCACACACTAGAAGATTAAGAGACAATGATGTTTTGGTCCATCCTGGACCATTATCAAGTCGATTGATAATGGTCCAGGATGGACCGAAACATGTCGTCTCTTCATCATCTAGTGTGTAGTTTGGTCATCATATCTTCAGACACATTATTGTGACTCGTCATCTGCAAAGAGAATGCATAAAATTATGAGAAAGAGGAAACAAAAATGGAAGAGTATTGAATATTATGAGATTGTATATTATTGTATATTATGAGAAAATACACTTGGGCTCTGAGATGACACGAACCTGCAATCCAGGCATTGCCAGCCGCATCCTCTGCCACTAGACCACCATTGACTTTTAAATGTATTGTATATTATTGTATTGTAAATGGAAGCATAATGATGTGAGGGGTAAGAATGTATTCAATAACTACAAATACAAGCTACCAAAGTATTTTTGCTTATTTATGTATACTAAAAACCAAGGAACAGTATACAATTCTCACCTTAAAATTCAAGAAACCTTTCAATAAGTTGTTATCCAGATATCCAAGGGCAGCTTCAGCTAACTGTTTACTTCGATATAAGATTTGTACTGATGGGAAGGTTTTAGTCCACATGGAAGCTAGTTTATATCGGTGATCCAAGTCAGCAGATGTTTCAGTGCTTGATACAGAACGTAATTCATACGGACTGACAATAAACATGTGAGGCAAAGTGGAACGTTGTGAGAGGAAACGCCGATTGAGCTCTGCCACGTCATCCACTTGAAACCAAAAATTACTTATATTAATACAAACATTAAGCTTTTAATTTATATGAAAAGTGTCACAGTAATGAATCATGCACATGCAGGCAGGATGATATATAGTACTGGCAATGGCACTACACTGAACTTTTCAAATTGTCTTCACAGTCATTAAGGTACTAATAAGCCACTGGACAGAAATCAAACTAGCACTGAATGATCAACAAATCATTCATAAAGTTCAATGCCCTATAGAGCCCTCTCTTGTTATCACAAATGACTACCAAGAGTGTGCTTCGGCAAACTAATAGTCCACCTTCTTGGATTCTCACAATTGCCACCAAGCAGCATTACTATACCTTTCCCAGTTCCCACTTCCAAGCCACCTCACATACCTGTCAGGCAAATTGTGTGATTGTAGTTAAAGATATCCAGAGCCTGAATTCCCCAACAGGACATGCCTAAGAAAAAGATTAGAAATGTAGCATGTACTGTATGTTTGGTAATCCAAATCAAATGCATGTAGCATATATTGTATGCTTTGGTAATCCAAGTCACCTCCATGTGAGTTAGCCAAACATACAACTTGATTACCTACCTACCTACTTATTGAAGATTCCGGGGGTTAATTTTCCCGCAGCCCAGTCTCTGATCAGGCCTCCTGGCTGCTGGTCTGATCCATCCGGCTGTTTGCAACCTGATGAACGAGTCACAGCATGATCAAGTATTCCTTGAAGGTGCATGTCGAGTTCTCTTTCGAACAATGCGAAAGGTCAGCCAGTTATGCCTGTCCGTGGGCATAAATGTGTGAGGAAAGTGTTGAAAAGTCTTGGGCCTTTGATGTTGATTGAGTTCTCTCTCAGCATGCCTATTGCACCTTTACACTTCAGTGGGTCTATTTGGCACATCCTGCCGTGACTTCTGGTCTCATGAAGTCTTATTTCTATATGCAAATTTGGAACAAGTCCTTGAGAATGGTCCAGGACGGACCGAAACGTCGTCGTCCCTTCACCTTCTAGTGTGTGGTCTGGTCAACAAGTCCTCCTAATATTTGCCAAGTGTAGATCTGTACGAATTTCTCCTACCTGCGCTTCAAGGAATACAGACTTATCCTTTTTAGGTGGTCCCAATAATTTAGATGTTTTATTGAGTGGATTCTAGCAGTAAAAGATCTTTGGATGCTCCACAGGTCAGCAATTTCTCCAGCTGAAACCCACATCTCTTGATGTGGGCTTCAGCAATTGCTAGACCAATTTCCTCTCTCTTGAAAAGTACTAGAAAGACTGATTCCAAATCTGGACACAGAAATAATATTTCTTATTATGACCACATGACATGGCACAATGTGCAAAACTGCCCTGTTGAAAACCAGAGGTGCAACAGGAACATAAAGAGAACTCTATCAACGTCTAAGGCCCAAGACTTTTCAACACTCTTCCTCTACACATAAGGGGCATAACTAGCTAACCTCCAAGTGTTCAAAAAAGAACTTGACAAACACCTTCATAGGATACCTGACCAACGAGGTTGTGAGGAGCCTGGTTGACCAAACAAATAATAAGGAAGCATAGTCAGATATTGGGCCATGGGGACGTTGATCCTGGGAATCATCGAAATGTAAAGGAAAGGTATCCAAGCTCTTAGGGTGGTACTAACATGGTTGACTAAGTTCAATCAACTGTTGCAGAAGCTGGGAGATGCGAGCCTTGGTGCAGTGAAGCATCTTCCTCAGATTAAGAAACAGACTATCAACACTGACATAAAGGGACATTAAATAATGCCAAGCCAAGCCATCAAGCCAATGCATGTAGTGCATCTCAGAGCACACAAGCCAAGCCTGAGAGAGATTATGCATGCTGAAAAAGAATCATGTTTCATTTTGGGTAAGGAAATCAGTCCTGGGATGAAGGGAAACAAATAACGAACTCACACTGCTGTAGAAAAGAATGAAGATGGCTAACCCCATTACCAGAAGTATATGAGGACGTGATCCAAAACGCTCCAACACCAGGACGTTTAAGGTAATATCAAGAGACCAAGCAGGCTGCAGTATATGATGAGTTGTGCGAATATTATAAAAGGCGCAACTTAAAATAAATAAAGAGGTAAGACAAAACTTGATTACCTCATTGGCATACGTAATCAAGCAGTCCAATAGGTAGTTTACCAGGACATTTCCCCGATTGTCATTTGTGATGTCGAGACAGGGTTCTGTAGGGCCTTGAATTTTATGAATAATATATTCAGTCAATTTAGTTCGGATTCATTTATCTTCAGTGACTCCCTAACACCTTCATGACCCTACAGGGACAGTTTTAAAAATCACTGTGGCACTGGAGTCATACTGTCAGTATTAAAATTCCATATGATGATCTGGAAATAACTTAGGTGAAGTAGTACAATATTTTAATCTACAGCACTAACAATTTAAAATACTAGGTATGTTTTTGACTAGGATATGATGAATTATTGAGAGTAATGTTTTAATATCTCTTGAACTGTTCTAATTTTATCACCAGAATAATGCCCTTCCCACTCCATGAAAGTGTGAAATTAATAATAACCAACAATATGAATAATAGTATTAATACTGTACCAATAATAATAACAACCATGATGGCAATAATGAGTTATTATTATTATATAATTTTTTATATATTTGTCAAGGATGAAAAATCCTTAATATGTATGATTATGGGACATTTTTAATTTTGATGCTTTATTGATGCATTTTTATTCATTTTGATACAATGAAATTCAATATATAAAATTGTACTTTGCCTTACTTCATGCACTTAAGAAAACAATACGTGGTAATAAACCAATACCATACAAAAGTGATCCTTATATTTTGTATTTAAGACAAGAGTGTACAAAAGATTAAATTCAAATTGGCTGTAAAAATTAATTAATAAAGAAAAATCTGATTCACCTCTGCATACCTGTAAAAGCTTCATTAAGATTAACAAGGATTGGTGTCACTTTCCAATCAGTGAGTGCCAGGAGCTGGAGGAACCTGAGCAGAGTTACATGTGGCGTGCTCGGAGGAGCATAAGGAGCTGCGTTTAGGAACAGGTAAGCCACCAGCAGTTCCACCGCTGTATGAGGTAGATGTGGCAAAAGTAGTTGGGACCCCAACCATCGCTTACATAACCGAACCCCTCCACTGAAACTTGGGTAATCTGCTTGAATACTGGTGAGAAAAATAAAATGAGATATTTAATTTATAATGTAAAAAAGTTCATTAAATGTTCAAGTAACAAGAAGAGTGAGGGAATTACTAAAATCGGTGAGAGGTAAAATGGAACACAGTTAAAAATGGAACATAGTTACAACATTATATGTAAATTACTTTTAATAATCTTTATTGCTATTTTACCACTCGGCACCATCAACTGGTAACATTAATACCTTCTGAGCACAAAGTAATAATATTTAGGATGATTGTATTTTTTCACGTTTAAACCTTCAAAATTTTTGGTAGATTAAATAGCAAAATTATATACTTGTATGTATAATAAATTTTTTAATATCTGGCAATTTGAACAAAAGATATGAGTTTGGTTAAATGACTCTTCAAAATTTTAATTCATATACAGTAATTAAATTATTTAGTGATAAATATATTGTGTTCAAAATAGTTAACAACGCAGGCGTATACCTAGCCAATGCTGTTGTGAATCTAGGAATGATCTCGATCTGCTTCTCCAGTTGTATGGCAGCAGCAGTGTCCTGCTCCCGCCAGTCCCCCTCTGGTGTCTCCACTAGACGCTGTACATAGATCTCTCTCAAATAGCATACACGGACACGGAAGACGTAGCCCTCCTGTGAAGCAGTCCCATCACCAATGAAATAGATTTTGATTATTAAAAATCTTGTTTCAATAAAACAATCACACGACAATAAACAACATTACACTATTCAGAATAAGAGAAACACACTTTAAATGCATTGTTGTAACATAAGCATGACAGTTTACACATAATAATTGGGCATCATGTGACTTATTAAATACTGTATATCCACCAACAAAACAAAACAATGCCACATTTAATATACTTAGAGTACTGAATTAAAGATGAAATATTCCATTGTACCCAAAGTATCTGGAGGTATTTAGGAAAGACCACAGTCGTGATGCTGTCTTGTTGGAGCAGGTCAGACATTTTACTATGAAACTCTGCTTTAATAGCTTGGATTGCCTGCAGGTCATCTGGCCACTTTCCACTTATTTCTAGGAAGACATTGACTGCAAGATAAATAATTACAAATGAATTGTGAACTTTAGAGGATTTATTAGAAATACATACTATATATATAGTATATTAGTCCATTTCCCACTTTTGTGGAGTGGGGTGGCATCAGTCTGGTGAAAATATTGAAAAAATACACCAAAACATGGATACAAATGTTAATAAAATAAAAAAAATATCACTCGTCCATTCATTAAATAATCCACAATACATTACATCATGAATGTACAAGCTCCTCCACACTCAGTTATCCTCAGAACCAATGCACCCTCACACAAGACAAGGTGTGTAGTGCTTCTCATGAATTGTATATACAGCATTCTTATATGACAAGTTCACTTACTCCTTATAAACTGCTTCCACCCAGCCTTGTCCCTTAATATATACTGGGTGTTGTTCACACTCACCATGTCTGCCCACCACCTACCCCAGCCCTCCTCTCCTTGTCCTACTCTCAAATTCATGCAAATGCACACTTTTTAATGAACAGTTTACCATTATCCATCTGTTCAAAATGATCAAACTCAATACAATTTGATCGATCTTGCAATTTATTGACTTTTTGCAATCTTCATTACATCACAGGGGACGAAAACTATAGGTTCATATCAGGCCATTTCCTTTCGCTTTCAGTTAATTAAATCACTGATTCTTATGATTGAGAGATGTTCTATCATATGCATCCTTTCCATGCTCCTCTGGTGCTGGATTTTGTTCTCCCTTAGGTTCTGACCTCTCTCTTATTTGAGGATCTTTCCTTCAAAGTTTCTTTTGCTCATAGCTTTGGAAATAGCAAATTAAAGTTACAGTAGTGAGCTTAATGCATCCATGATTTCATTCTTTTAATTGTGGAATCTCGTGTCTCTCCATTCTGACCTCTCATTCTTCATCAAGATTGAGACTTTTTTTTTTGGGGGGGGGGGGGGGGGGGGGGGGAGGAGGTCCTTTCCTAGTTAGGGCCTGGTAATTATGTCTTATGCATCCTCGTATTCTGACTCCCTTAGCTTCTCTAGTTCAGTATCTCCAGGTGTCTCAGCACAACCACTAATTCTCCCTTCCTTGCACCAAAGTTTTCCACTGTAAAGTCTATGTATCCCAGATACCCCCACACTGTGATTAGGGCGAGTAAGCCCAAGGTGTGTCCTGGGGCCTATTATCCCGGTAATCTCAACCCATTTAGGTCTTCTCTGTGTTGTCATGTACTGACATCAGAGCTTTAGAGTTTTGAAGGCTCACCAAAAAATTTACTCCACTTGTAGCATTTCCCACCTTCAACATGCAGCCCAGGTAAGCATACTCATTACTATCCGATAGTTTAATTTACAATTATTGAACATTTCTCAAGAAACAACCAAATGTAATAGCTGAAAAAGCTAGCCTTGAGTTTAAGAAAAATATTTTTCTGAGCTATACACTTTTCTTTTTTTCCTTATGCATGATCCTAATATTTTTATTTTGTGGCTGTGCTGCACGAGGATACGTGAAGAGTTGGAGTCGGAAAGCAATATTTCGGTGTGGTGTTGTCATCTGGTGGCAGTGCGTGGTAGCAACCTAATAGTAAGTAATCATGCCAAAAGAAATCATATAATAATGAATTTAGATACAAAAATTAAATCTTGTAAAAAGTTGAATTTGACATTCCTAGGAGTATGATGTGCATTAAATATGAAGTGAGCAAAACAACTTTGTAAGAATTTAAACAATAGAGACAAGTGCCAGGATGGCTGATCAAGGATTTGGGTGCGGGTGTTGGGAGCTGGGTGCAGGTGTCAGTAGTGGTTTGCAGGTGTCGGGAGTGGGGTGCGCGGGGTTGGGAGTTGGGAGACCTATGCTCACTTTCTTGTGAGCATAGGTCTTCTGATGTCCTTCAGTAACCTGGCCGAAATTCCCATTAACCCGGATTTCTGTTCAAGTTTGGCAATGTTAGACAGGCAGACAGATAATCCAAAGATCCAGGTTCATGAGCACCTACAGTATTACCAATTACCTGTCGATGATAACGAGGATCAACGTCTCCTCTTGACAGGCCTCGGGGTTTTTGGTCTGATCAACCAAGTTATTCAATGTGGCCGCTCATAGGCTGACATGAGTCACAGCCTGGTTAATCAGATATCCATTGAAGGTGTTAGTCAAGTTCTCTTTTGAACGTCACTACCTTTAAAATCTTTTGAACAGGTGCATATAGTTAGGTCTAAGCTCTGACAAAAAATATTTAATGCATGCCTATCAGTGACTATGGAGAAGTGAGATCTAGCTCTGTGCTACACCTCCAGGCTGTTCATATCTGGTGCAATAATTACCCCCTCAAAATAATACAATATCAACATTTTTCATCATATTTCATTTTAAAGTTGTGAATGGAACTGGCTGTAACAACCTCTTCCTTCAATGCATTCCACTTTCCTCCACCCATACAGGGAACGAGAACTTCCTTGCATCTCTTCGACTCTATTGCAAATCCAGCTTTCACCGATGTTCCATTATCCTACCTCTCTTTGCTTCCTTTATCTACTTTATCTAGTCCCCCAAGATCTTGTACACAGTTATCATATCCTCTCTGCTTCTTCTCTCGTTTAAGATAGGGATGATGAGTTCTCTCAACTTGTCCTCATAACCGAGGCCTCTCAACTCTGGTACTGCACTAATCTAGTTTCAAACTTCACAACTTTCTCAAGTTTTTGTTTATGCTTCACAAAGTGAGGGTTCCATGCTGGAGCTACATACTCAAGTACAGTAACAGTCTCACATAGGCAGTGTATATGGAGTTGTAAGCTTTCAAGTTTAGATTCATAAATGACTTCCTAATGTTTTCTAATTTCATACATGCTGCCGATGTTATCCTGTTCACGTTAGCTTCTGGTATTAGTGTTTGGTTAATTTTTGTCTACTCCCAGATCTTTTTCCTTTATTATTTCTTGTAATTGATTTTTCCTTATGGTAAAGTTCATTATAGGTCTCCCATCTCCCTTACCCATTTTCATTACTTTGCACTTATTTGGATTGATTTCTAGCAGCCAATTATCTGCCCACTCCTGAAATTTGTTAAGGTCTTTATGCAGCACCCTACAGTAAATCATTAACTTTGCATCATTTGCAAACATTGACATGTGCAAGTTCACTTCCTCTGCGAGGTCATTTACATAAATTAAAAACAACAATGGACCCTAGGACAGAGCCCTGTTTAACACTACTTTCCACTCCTCTCCAGCCTGACACATCCTCTCTTTGATCCTTTGTTTCCTGTCCATCAAGCACTCCCGAACCCAATCCAGTGTCTTTCCTGTTATTCCCGTGTATCTTTGCATCTAATGTATTAGTCTTTTGTAAGGAAATGTATCAAAGGTTTTTGACAGTCTAAGAAGATGAAGTCTACCCATCCTTCCTTTCTTCCTTCGCTTGTCTTATTTCGGTGACTCATTCATAGAATTCAATCAAGTTTGTTGAGCATGATTTTCCATCTCTGAAGTCATGTTGTGTCTTATAAATTTTACTCTCTCCAAATGTTCTACAATCCATTTTTTATGTTTTTTTTCTAGAATCTTACATGAAATGCATATTAATGACAATGGTTTACAGTTAATGCTTCATGTCTGTCCTCTTCCTTCAACATTGTAACTATAATTGCCTTTTCCAGATTTCTGGTAGCTCTCCCATCTCTACAATAAACCTGAACACTGCTCTCTGCAGCTTCCTGCAGTACCCACAGTAGTATCTGGTCTGGTCCTACTGCATTTGTTTCATTCAATTCCTTTGCATATCCTTTTTAATTCTTCTACATTAACCATAATTCTGCCTAGTATTGTTTCCGGTTGTCTGTTGTCACCCTCCCTACCGGATCATCAATCTGGTTCTGATCTGAAGACCTGCTGGAATCTCTTTCTTGGAGAGGATTCCAGAAGTTCTACTCCCTGAGCCCAGCCAGGCTCAACTTGTGATAATCTCTTATTGAATTCTTAATATACTTCTTTATCATTCTCCATGAGTGTTCCTTCCTGTCCCTGAAATCTAATTACATGGTCTTGTACTGTTATTTTTCTCTGTATATGGCTGTGCAATAGCTTAGGTTGGCCTCACTGGTTTTGTTGCAGTATCATTCTCAAACTTCTGCTCTGCTGCCCTCCTAATTCTTGTGTAATCATTCCTGACTCTTTAGTGCCTATTTGCCCCAGTACCCATGTCCCTATCAGTATCAGCATCAGTAGTATCAGTACCAGAGTATTTTTTTTTATAGTAACAGCGTCAGTTAATAAGACAGTATTGCTCAAAATATTAATATTAGTACACCTTTACTAACAGGAAGGGGGATTACAAAATTATTGAGAGAAGAAAGAATTATTTAGAGAAGAGAAGACAGAGAAGAAAGATGTCCATCGTGGTGAATGAAAGTTGACTAAGTAAAGACAAAAAGGTGAAACAAGACATAGACCTCGCTCACTAAAGCCAATAAGAAAGTCAAATGAATGAAGGCATAAAATTCAAAATGGTGAAACACACAAAAATATATATCAAATTCCCATTAATCTGGGAGTGTGTTCCAATAAACATATTCCAATGCACTGAAAACTTGTGCATCATGTGAGACATTTCCATGCTTCACTGCAAAATATTCTAATCAAAATCATTCTTACCTTCCATGGCATAATTAAAGGTCTGCCAGTTGCCTCCATTTTCAGAAAATTGAAGATGATTATCTCTTGCTTCTACTGCCTGAATATAAGAAATAAAACAAAGTTATTAGTTGTATCCTCTAAAGAAAATTTTAAATTTTTTTCACATCCTATACCAGCTTTTAATACTTTAATCAGAGCTTAAAATGAATACAGTAGTAAATAAATTTTAGAATATGCCTACTTCTACTACGTATAAACCCCATTTTTCCTACTAGCTGAATACTATGATACAAGCAATAGAGAAGCACAAAAATTAAAATGAATATTAATAGTACTATTGGAAAGACTAAGAAACAAAAAACAGATGTACTGATGCATTTAACACAATTACTAAAAGAATAAAACTACTGAACATAACTACACTTGCTTCATATTCCTAAAGTTTAACAGTGGACTTCTTGCTAATTTATTTATAAAGCAAGCCTTGGCATGTTTTAAACAAACTGACAACTATCATCTTCGATATTTACTCCTTCCACTCAGTTCCAACCTTTGGTAGTTACACAAATTAAGAGTTTTTCTTAATGTTCTCAATGAGTTTAAGTATAGCTGCTTAATAGATGTGATCCATTTGCTAGAGGTAAAAGTGCGACAATTTTCACACACGCTATACACTGTACAAATGCCACATGCAGACATACCTTCCCAGTGGGTTTCACTGCCTTTGCAACGGGTGGAAACACCCGTGCGTGCCTGCTTACGTCTGAAGTTGGCTGAACTGCGGCTATCTTCAGAGGTAGGTCAAGAGAGCGAAGCTTCCGAGATAATGAATCAAATGCTTGTATAGCAGATACTGTTGCTTCCTCCCCTGTTGCATAACTAAAATATGAAATAAACAATTTATTATTTCAAAATAATTTTTTATGGACACAAGAGTAGTAGTTTTATGAGTATGTTTTACAATATTGGCCAAAACACATGTTTGAATGGTAAATATAATCACTAATCACACTCAATTGTTTGAGAGGTAAGGCCTGTATATTTGTTTTCAGAATCCTGTCAAGAGATACATGGTCAAAGTAGATTTTGACACTAGGAGTCAGTTGTAACCAAGAATATCATCTAAAGCAAAGCAGTGTGACTTTAGTGACACATGAAATACTGAGAACACTTAGAATGACACAAGGAGCTTCCTAAAAAGCATAAGAATTAATAAGAGAAAAATTTGGGCGTCGAGCACAGTAAATTATATATATTCTTTTGTGCCAGAGCCTTGGATATTTCCATAGCCAGCTCATATATTGTCCACCCAAGACTCATGTCACTTATACATCCATCATCACAACTTTTCTCATATGTATTTAGGGAATGGAGACTGTGCTGAGTTTAACTCAAGCCACCATCAATAATTTCCCTGCAAACAACTGTATTATTAGTTGATTGAAGCTACACCACCTCCCAAAAAGTGTCACTATTCACAGCAACAGGATCAGGAAAGCTGGCAACCCTCACTGAAGTCCAGATGACCCAAGCATGCTCAGAAATATCAACAATAATGGCTGGAATGGGATCATCAGAAAATCTGGTTAAGGGGCCCAGCCAATGAAAAATATTGGAAAAAAATTTAATTATAGAAAGCTTTTGCCTGTGGAAACACCATGGTGAAAATCCCATGTTATTTCAATAAAAATAATGTAATTATGGGTAATTCCCCCCCCCCCTTTACAAATCGAACACGTGACCCAGGTCATGCATACTATAATGCATAATTTGTTAAAAAATTAGGTCTATGTACCCAGAGATGGTAATCTGGTGGTCAATGGCACGTTTATATACACAATGTGGGTGGAGCAGCTGCTGTGAATGTGAGCGAGCCACAGGACGTCAAAAAGGGAAGATGTGTGCTGTGTTCTTACATTGTTAAGGGCCATCCTGCTTGTTATCTCTGTGCCGGGAAGTATTTTTATCTTGACAATGACATAGATGAAAACACACACAGCTTGTTTACAGAATGCTGTATTGGCTACACATGCTACAGCGATAACAAATAAAGGAAAATAGGATGAGTCTCAATCCTGGGGTGAAACATTTTAGTGCTTAACAAAGAAGACCAATAAAATACCAGTATATTACTAGAAAAAATTAATGCTATGTCCTAGAGCATCCTCTCCAGACTGTAGCCTTATGAGGGAACATGGATACAAGGGTCGTGTACTCGTCTTGCCCTAAATGAACCCTGTCTAAACCACTTGAGAAAGGACAATGGCTGCAAGTAACTGAAACAAAAATACCAAAATAACACGTCAGACTATACTATTAAACAAAACAAGTGGTAGCAAAATTAGCCTAGTAATCACACAGAGGTGGCAAGGGCACTCAAACATCCAAAATTTAAAGAAAGCGAATGCCTAGCACCAATGCCCTGATGCAAGAACAAGTTGCAACACATTGCAAAAATAGTAGATGAACTCAAAATGAGAATGTCCACAGCTGGCAAGTATTCCAAAAATACACAAAAAAAAATGGGTAGCCATGCCACAGCAGCATCCACTGAAGCATGAGCCAACTATGAAGCAACAACAATTTCAGGGATAAACCCGTTGCCAAGTACTTAACTTATATAGGTCTCCACAGTACCAGGGATACGTCAAGGAGAGGGGGAGGGGGAAACAGGCTTAAAATAAGGTTGTCTGATCTCTTTCTGACCTGTTAAACATAGGCGCTGCCACCTGGTGGTGGTCTCGTGTTGTAGCCAGGCAAGTTAACTAGCAGTTGGCAGAGTGATTGATGCTTGGCAATTCTTTTCCTGGCCAAGTATCGCTTGAAGTGCAATTTGAGTTTAGTTGAGTGAGCATTTTGAAGAATTTTCAGGGTATTATTGAGAAATCACTAATGTCTTCTTTTCCTTATTGTCGCCTGATTGAGACATTTTGAAAGATCCCCACCACAACAGATTAAATGTTGACATCTGCCTAGCTGTGTGTGGTCTGCTTACTAGAGAAGCAGGCCATTGCATAAGGGATCAACAGAATGGGCCTAGCTCAGAATTTTTTTTAAATATATAATTACTGTAGATAACAGAGAAGCACACTATTAAAAAATATGGCAAATCATCAACTTGACTGAAAATATACTTAAAGAGGGTAAAATTATTTTATCAACTTACTTGTATTTCAGCATATAATGAGGATGATGAAGAGAGCGCTCCAATTGGTTAGCAATATAATAAACACATTTTTTGCTTGTCATACAATGAAGGTTTAAGATGTATCTGCAAATTTTTCCTGGAATAAGGCGACGTTTACCCATGGACTGGTCTGGTGTTCCCCAAAGAACAGCTTCATGGAAACTTCCATCTTGAAATCTGCGAAGGGAACATTTCGAGCCCCAAAATGTTTTGAAATTTTCTGCCTTAGGATCATCTGCTGGTGGTCCCTGAAATCCAGATACATTCAAAATATTAACAACGCAATATGAACAAAACATTCGTTCAATAAAATTGCAGTACTGAAGTTGAAAAAAGAGAGAAAAATGTAAATGTTAATCCATATATGAATGCTGAAAGCAACTAAAATGGAATTAATTATGGGAATATTCTGCTGCAAAGATGGAGACAGACAAAATCTTTATATAATGAAATTTGTTCTAACCTTTGTCAATAGTGCCCAAGCTGAAACTGGGTTTAGCACAAGACCAACAACCAAATTTTCATCAAGTTGTGGGGGAGGTTGCTCTACAAGCCACATTGATTGAGGTTCTCTCATAGGCACCAGCAGTTCTGCTCTCTCGCCAAGACCTTCACGCAACATCTGTAGAATGGACGACAAAGCCAATCTGTGCATGTCACCCAAGGTATCCATGAGGAGTTCCTGATAGTTCGTCCTTGTACAAAGTAAAGTCTTTGCATGTGCTTTATCAAACCTAAAAACAAAAAACTTTACATTAAAGCTTGAAGAACGATGTACATGTATATGTACATACATACATACATATAAACATACATAGGTACGTACGTACATACGTATGTATGTATATGTGTGTGTGTCATACTTAGTAGCCAGAACACACTTCTTGGCCTACTATGCAAGGCCCAATTTGCCTAATAGGCTGAGTAATTTTGTCTATTTTCAAAAAATTGCTTCCAATTGGTTTATTTGAATTATTATTGTTATAATATGTTAAAAGCATAAATAATTGACTTAGTTATGTTAGTTTAGGTTACGTTAAGATAGGATAGGTTAGGTTAGGTTAGGATAGGTTAGGATAGGTTAGGTTAGGATAGGTTAGGTTAGGATAGGTTAGGTTAGGATAGGTTAGGTTAGGATAGGTTAGGTTAGGATAGGTTAGGTTAGGATAGGATAGGTTAGGTTAGGTTAGGTTAGGTAGGGTATTTTCAGGGTAGATTAGGTTCGGTCATATATTTACATTTGTTCTAACTCAAATTAAATAAAATGAACTCATACATAATGAAATGGATAGCTTTATCATTTCATAAAAAAATTGGAATATATATATATATTCTGGAAAACTTGGCTTATTAGGTAAACTGGCCCATGCATAGTAGGCCGAGTACTGTTCTGGCTACTAGGTACAACGTATGTATGTAAGCATGTATGGATGATAAGCAAGGCCCCACTTGCCTTAACAGGTAGAATAATTTTCATTATTTTCAAATGTCTTTTAAAATTGGTTTTTTCCTAACAATATTAATTACACTGTTTAGGAACATGACTTGTGTACTAACACAGTTATGTTAAGTTACGTTAGGATAGGTTTCATAAAATTTCTATGTTAGTTTTGATTCAAATTAAAAATAAAATGAAACCATATATTATGTAATGGAAAGCTTTGTCATTTCAAAGAAACATTTGTGAAAAATATAATATTTCAAGAAAATTCTTCTAGTTAGGCAATTTGGCCTCTTAGGTACATAGATACACACACACACTTTGTGCTCTAGCTAGGCAAAGAGAACAAAGTACTGTACTGAATATCCAATGTATCTACTGTAGAGCACTCACCGAATGCGTAAAACTTGATCACTTAGTTGGATTATTTCCACCTTCTTGATGAAAAGAGATTCAAAGCTATCTGAAGCTGAGGAATCGAGGAATGACAATGCTAGCTGAGCTTCATGTTTAATCTGAGGAGGAAAAGAAATACATTTAGTAGCACGAGTGTCTATGAGAACGTACATATGAATGCATGAATAAATGCCCACAATGGGTGCAAACTAGTATTGTATACATATACCAACATATTGCTTAAGTATGTGAAGGCGAGTGAGAATTAACTAAAGGTAATCTTGTTTAAAGATGATAAAGAATGAGAAAAGATGGATAAAAATTGGACTGAGTGAATATGGAAAGCACCTTCCTGAGTCAAGACACACTAATGCTTCCTAAGGCAGCTCAATTCATTCAGATCCAATTGAACTGAACCAAAGACAAGACCGCACAGGCTCACTAGGACTATTGCCATGTTTCTGTCGGGTCATACTGGTGTTCGGGAGGCATTGGCCTAAAGACCATTCCACCTGAGGGAATGGTCTTTAGATCGAGTGTAGAAGATTCACTCAAACACTCAAATCCCTTCCAAGCTCTACATTGTCAGTGAGGGGGTTTGGGAGATTACAAACATTATCCCTTGCACTTAACTTTTCACAAGCACTGAATGCTTGTATGTTTCGTGATCATACTTCTTATACACTCAAAAATCTTTCAAAGGTTGCTAAGAAGTAAGATCACAAAGCACATGGAATCACATCGTCTACATAACCCTGGACAACATAGTTTGGAACAGGGTGCTGCTGCCACTCTCTCAACTGCTAGACCACTATGACCTGGCCTTAGCTACCATGGAAGACAAGAAAAATTCTGAAGAATCACACAGATTTTCACAAAACCTCTTGACACAACCTGTCCTCCTGATAGAACATCACATTTTGACATACTGTATACTCTACCTAATGCCAAAAACTGTTGTACTAGAAAATCGTAGCGGCTCATGAAATTGGCATACCATCCAGTTTTCTGTTATGGTACTGTTAGGTTAGGATAAGGGCATTTTAGTACGACAGTTTCTTGATGTTGGGAAACCTTAGGATGGGCTGCTTGACAAGTGTGACCATGGTATTATTGCACACAAAATGCACTCAAGTAGTAGTACTTCTTGTAAACTTACTACAGGCAAAGTAAAAAGATAGATCTTTAATTTCCTAATGAACAGAACCTAGTACAGTATGTAGTATTCAACAAAATAAAATCTGAAGCATCCACTGTGAAAGCTCAAGTCCCCACACAGCACTGTGCTTGCTCAGTACTTTTTCTCATTCTTATATCAGACATAGACAAGGCACAAACTATAGCACCAAATCATCCTATGCAGATGACACTATGATTTTATGAGAGTAGACAATACAGATTGTACCTGGATTGTATCTGGATGGGGTTATGGGAGTTCTACTTCCCAAGCCTGGCCAGGGGCCAGGCTTGACTTGTGAGAGCTTGGTCCAAGCTCTCACAAGTCAGGCTGTTGCTTGATCCACCAAGCGAACAGGCTGACTGTTCACCGTCAGCTGTTTTTTTTGTTTTTGTTTTTTGCACATGAGCAGAAATGGCAAATTTGCTAGTTCTTAGGGTTAAGAGCTCTTTTTCCCTTATACAACTGTCTTTAACCTGCATTATGAAGTACAAGCTCTGTATAAGGTACAGTATGTCCTGATGAGCTGGTATAACACTGGAATATTGCAGCCTTCCAATGAGGCCTCACTAATTCTCATAGACTGTTATATTTACCCCCACCTTTAGCAAGGATGAGAAGAAACAAGCCCATGCCCATACATCTTGAGTTGCAAACAGTTATTCCACTGCATTTACAGCTTCTTGGGACTTGGTACTAGGAAAGACTATAATCTTTAGTATTTTCTTACACACAATTGATAGACCGTACACACTGTCATACCCTAGGGGTGATGGATTTTGCTGTGTGTTTGCCAACTACAGACCTCTTACAGCTCAGCTGTCTTTCCAGGGTTTTGGTAGAATGACATCACAGCCTGATCTCGAATCGAATTAAAACTGTGAAACCGCACACAGTACAAGATAAGGTGTCATAAACACTAAAAAGACAGGAGAAATAATTATGCTAGGTAAATTATGTAACCAACATCAAGAGGCACATGATGGACCTAGCAAAGAGGAGAGGTCCAACAGCTAGATCTCTCTCTCCACAGATACAGTCAGGTACGTAGTGTATACATATTTCCCCCTTTCATTAATACACTATTCAAACATTTATAGATGTATTTTTGTTTTGTTACTTCCAATCACACCATAAACTCACCCTTAGATAATCAGCCATTATAAATTTGGCTGCCAAATTAACCCTGCCTGAAGGGTCAATAAACACCACTTCATACAACTTATGAAAAGTCTCTGGTGTAGGGCCATCTATTGGAGGTGATGTACACATGTTGGGCCCACTCTCACACCAATTTTCAGAACCTGAAAAGGAGATATTAGACTATTAATTATAAATAATATTCATAATTAAGCACATTTCAGTTGATTACTGTTGATGTAACTGATATTAATTTTATGCATTTATAATTACAATCATTTACTTGTATTCAAACAACACTTTCCTCTTGAGCAAAAGTTCTTAAAATATGCCGAGCTATTCTATGGCTGTTGCCAGAGTTAATCGTGCATTTTTTCCATACATCAGTGAGAAGTGTTTACCTCACGTCTCTGCTGTTTGAGGTTTCATGTAAAGTAATACCCAGCTACTTCTGACCCTGATTCTACTGCTTGCAGCTATCAGGGGGGTGTTCTTTGTGCATTTTGTCTCCATTGGTTGTCCTCCTTGTACCTGGTATGCCTCTTGTTGACTTACCTAGAACTTGCCTGGAGAGGATTCCGAGAGTTCTTCTAATCCCAAAGCCTGGCCTCAGGCCAGGCTCAACTTGTGATAAAACTTGGTGAAACAGGCTGTTGCTTGGAACAGCTCACAAGCCCATATATCCACTACAATCCTGGTTGGTCTGGCACTTCTTGCAAGAACTTATGTAAATGCATTTTGAAGACATACATCTTCATTCAAACAATATTTCTAATGCTTGCTGGGAGGGTATTGAGCAGACATGGCCCTCTGATGAATCAGTACTCTGATTCTGCCTATGGCACCTATACTCCTCACTGGTTCTATTCTGCATTTCCTTCTGTATCTTTCGCTCTAATATGTTGTTATACTACTGTGCAAATTTGGGACCTGGCCCTCCAGTATCCAAGTATATACTACTTCATACCTCTCTATGCAGTATAGTATACTATGCAAATGCATGCAGGGAGCTTGAAAAAGTAATTACTGTACAGTTAACTTACTAAGAGCCACAACAACATCTCGGAACACCTGATATGCAGACATCTGTGGCTTAATTTTGCGAGCTTGCAGAAGATGTACCACGAGTAATGTAACCATGTGGCCAGAAAAGCTTCCCACACCCTGCAACAAACGTAAAAATTACAAAATACTGTACTTAAATATAAAGAACAACTACTTTTTCATGTAATTTATAACCAGTATGATCTGCTTAATGCAGTACTTTGAAATGGGTAACCTTTATAAGTACTATTTATACGCATAGCAGTCAGCATACTGCAGTCATACATACTGCAGTCTTTATATGCATAGCAATCTACATACTTTTCAGTCCATTTTGGGGCTAAATTTGAGGTAAATGCTTGATACCTGCTTGATGGAGTTCTGGGAGTTGTTCTACTCCCCAATCCCGGCCAGAGGCCAGGCTTGACTGACCTATGGTCTATGAATACACGTATAATACCGTTAATGCTTTGGAAAGTTTGAATTCCATACTCAGCACTTCAGCAAACAAAAATAGAAAAGCATTAGTGAAAAAATGTATCATCCTATTTTATTATTAATAAAATATAAAATAAAAAAAAATGCAAATAATGTAATGTATTTTAATGTAATAAAACCAAACTTAAATATTCCTAGGCCTAGTACAGCATATATGTATACTATATTAGGCCACAGATAACGTGTATTAGGCCTAGGATGGTTAGGTTAGGTTTTATTAGCAACAAATATAAAAACTTTTCTGGGTTGTCCAAATTCAATAATACAAAAGTCTACTTTCTGGTAGTCCATCATGACATATTTGTACATTCAACCACATAATTACTATACATACTTTCAGTTTAGGAGGATGGGCTGCCTATGGCCATTCAAACATTTTATAAAACTACTAATGGCCAGAGCACAGACATCAGGAAACCGATATTAGAACTGCAGAGAATGAACATAGCAGAAAACACCAGAGGAGATAATTATCACAGGAGAGCAATTTTTATGAAAGTAACTCCATAAAATGCCATCATTGCTGGTACAGTACTCTGCTTTTTAAAAAGAATTACTAACAATCTAGAAAGGCTAACAACCTACAACCAACTATACACAAATACATATATATGAAACTAACCTTGTCTAGGTCTCTCTGAGCTAACCAAATCTTAATCAGTTTGATGCCTTGCATGAGGTTGGTATGTTGGCTCACACAATCCCTCACAAGATGAAAATGTTCCAACATAACTACATCCACTGCACATGCCCAATTGTAATGTGGAGTTGATGGGTTCTCCTCAACTGTCAAAAGACAAAACAATAAGAAATGGTAATGATTTCCTGGCCATTTATAAAACACATCCTATGATAAGTCAGTTACTTGAGCAGTAATAATTTGTCATAGCACAATTCAACAGAGCTTACAAGAAGCAGTCAAGTAATTCCTGATCATAAGCATGCATTTTTGGACCAATGTTTACAGTTCAACTAAAGGAAAATCTTCAAGTAAATTATGCAGGCTAGACCTTCAGTGTAGAAGGGTGTATTATAGATAACAAAGGCAGGTAAGAAGTCGTAATCTGGAATGCTGCCACTGAACTGCATATTACATTTCAAATACAAAGCAATGGAAGATTTTTTTGTTTTGTTTACACAAGAAAATGTTGTAACAGATGGATAATTGGCAAATATAATCTATGTATTCTACTGATTTATGGCAAATACAGAAAACACAAATACAAGTACTTGACCATGGGCCCAGTGATACCTGTCTTGAGAAGCAATCCTCTCGAGTGTTTTCCAGGTTGCAAGCCCACTTGGTGGTCTCAGTCTTACAAATACTCAATAATAGAGAAGCTATGGTGTCCTTTTACACAGCAATCATTAATTCTGCCATTGGGCACTAATACAAGACTGATGACAATACAGTAATTACATGATGGCTTACATACGATAATACAAGAAGTTAATGATTCCACTATTTTTGTGTACGATCGCCCCAGAGATCGTAAGTCCTGAATGACAGCTCATTGTCATTCAGATCAACAATGTAGTGTATTGCCTAAGATTAATATAATAGAGCTCTAGTGGGTTCTAGCATATTTTGCCAAAACCGTGCTGCTGCTAAGCATAAGGATATGCTCATAAGGTTCTCATAAGGAGCAACGCTGTATGTCAAGAGCAATAGGACCCAATTTTTTGCCCAAGTGATATTTTAATTTCGTCTCACTTCATCTATATGATGGCATTAAGTAATCCCACATACAATTGTGGGATTGTATGTCCTGGGTGTTTACAGAACAGAACTCCATGGATAAAGGGAGCCATCTCAGCGAGATAGCTTCAGGAAGCCAAACGGAAGTTCCTACAGAAAACAGTTAAATCATACCTTTTGCTTCTTCTGAAAAAAACCATCTTGGCTGAAGATTACTTCTCTCTGGTGAAAATCGCCTGACTTTAAAACTCTCGGGTGGTGGCACAGGAAATAGATTCACCTTCCACTTTTGTCCAATTTTCCCACTAGGTGTAATCTACAATATAGAGAAATTGGATATATACATGTAGAAGCCCCTTGATGGATATTGGAAGATTTCTCTATTAAAAATTAGCAAAGGGAAATAGTAGTTTATAGTCAGAAGCATCAATGAATATTCACCTAACACTCACCTGCAGCACTGGTCTCACTGAGCTTCCCAGGTGTGTAGTCCAATTTAAGTTTGCAACAAGGTCTGTTTTGTCTTGCAAGTCGGCTGCTATCCATGCTAAGTACCTGATTCGCTTCACCAGCCACCTTCCATTCTGCCAATCAGCAGCATGTACACATTCCTATGTAAACAAAAGGCAAACAACAATTATTAAAGACAAATATAAATTATACTGATGAATATTAACAATGAACATTCAATATCCTTAATAAATGAATTCATAAATTCTTGACAACAGTAACTGGCAACAATGCTTAACACAATATAAATACCAAGTTCATTGATGCTAAAATTTGATAATTTCACATTTTAGATATAACACAAACTACTGTATTACTTTTGGAAGGGTGATCATAACATCAACACTGGAATTTTGTGTTGTTATTGTGCCTGAAGCAAGGGAGCCAACGAATTGTACACTCGTGGGGGCAGCAAACAGGAACGTTCCTCTGGCTTCCGGCATATCCTTCGCCAATGGATCACAAATGCCTTTCTCATCCATCCACTTTGTTTGACCAAGCTGTAGGGATATATTTGACTGTTAACACTAGTAAGCATGCAGTACAACCCGAATAACTACGGTGTAACATAAAAAAACATACAACTTAGTAACATTAAATGGAAAAGTACTTTAAATGGAAAATCTCCTCAAAGCAATACACTGTATGCGAGTTCAAATTTGCTGCCAGAGACTTATGAGAACACAATGGATTTATACAAGATTTCAACATTTTGTTATGACCCCTAACACTGTATAGTTAAATCAATCACCATTTATAAAGAGACATTTAAATTAATCATGATTCCAGTTGGAGCTAATGTCCTTGAATAAGAAAATATAGATGCACATAACCACATAATCACATAACTCTGTTGGTTATTAATCACATAACCAACAGAGATTGGTTATGTGATTAACTAAACCACAAATGAGATAATGTAAAACAATTCAATCCTACAACCAAACACTGATTTATCATCTCACCTGGTATTCTGATGATGCTGGCATAGCTTTAAGGTATGCTGAGAACTGGGCAAACCATTGATCCAGCTGCTGACGGTGTTTGTCCTTCATGCTGACCTCGGCCAGCAATTCTTCCATCTGCTCGGGAATATCCATCTTGTAAATTTCTTTGCTTGAAAATTAAATGTAATAACCAAAGAAGACAAAATATATTTTAAAATCTACATACAAATTCAGATACAAAAATATTTGTAATAATCAATAAAAATTAAGAGTTGAATGTAATGAAATGCCTTTTCTGGAGGGCCTTCGGTAGCGTCCAATCCTCAGTGCTGATACAGCCATGCCTTAGGAAGATGCCCACTGACCTCGGAACCCCCCCCCCCCTTGCTTACTTACTGGTAGCCATGATTGAATGTTGTACTTGGTAAGGAGACAGTTTGGACAACACATGGGATATGGAAACGTCCAAGAATTAGATCGGAGCTGTTTTTGAGAAAGACATAAGAGGTAGTATTTGTCTGTAATGAATATGCCAATTTCCCAGAAACATTACATAACTGATACCATGAAGCAGTGGGATGACTGCTCTAGTGTGGCAGTGCTTATTAATCTGTGATATTCAACACATAAATTCTGTGATTTATCTGCAATATTCAACACACAAATTCACTGTACTGTGAATGACAGTGAATGAATGAGTAATAATTTTAATGTCTTATTATAAAGTGTGCAATATCTACTGTATAACCTTTAACAATATTATTCACCCCTTTTCTCTAGGGGGACACCTTTCCACTCCCTCATAACAGTGAAGCAGGAAATGAGGTAATAATGTATGCATAAGCATTGAGCAATATTGAACTAAAGTGCTCCCTCGAAAATCTGCCAAATCATTTCAAATCAGGATTTGCATAAAATATGGATTACCCTCAAAATACAAAACATTAAAGTACTTTGATGGAAATTACTTTATGCAATGGAATGACAACCCAGATTTTCAATTCAATTCTCTCCAGAATCTATATTTTTTATGAAAAAGGCATAGAATGAATTTCAGATAGGAAATCTTGTAGGGAAATTTTATCTGTTGTTTAGAGGGATATATTATATAGAGGAATGGATTTTTAGGGGAGCACTGTACTACTAGATAATATTTGAATCTGAGCCCCTTCATACCTGCATCCGGAACAGATTAGAATGATAAAGCAATTGAGTTTCCCTAAGAGTGTTCAACTCGTCCATTGTTGGTAGTCGGTATAAACTCTCCTTTTTTCTCTCCACCTTTGCAGACTTTACTTGTTTCCCACCCTGAAAAAATTAAGTGTTAATATCTTAAACAATGCAAATGTTTTATACACAGCACTATATATTAAAAAATCTATTTACCAAAATAAACCAGGCTTTGACTACCTGCTTGCTCATCATGACAGGTATCCCTGCTAATCATCCTACCACATAAATTGAACACGGGAGACCACAATCTACCACTAAAAGATAGTCCCCCTTGCAGGAAAAACTTGAGTTCACAAGGAAAACTAATAACTTCTCTAAAATGACTGAAGTACCACTATCTCCAACAGCAGTATACTACATGTGAACAAAGATAAAGGAACTGACACTTACCTGTCAGTGACTACAGGGAAGTGAGATCTAGCTCTTTATGCCTCACCTCCTAACCATTATACCTGACATGCTAATTACTGTACCTCTCAACATTAACATTTCATGAACAAATCCACAAAGGCCGTGACGAGGATTCGAACCTGCGTCCGAGAGCATCCCAGACGCTGCCTTAATCGACTGAGCGTCTGGGATGCTCTCGGACGCAGGTTCAAATCCTCGTCACGGCCCTTGTGGATTTGTTCATTTGATGCATCACGCAATTGTGATTTCTGTGTGTAATTAACATTTCATCATACTTCATTATAAAGTTGTTCATGGAATCGACTTCAACATCCTCTCCCTTAAACGTATTCCACTTGCCTACCACCAGTACAGCAAATGAGGATTGCCTTACATCTTTTCAACCCAAATGCATGTCCAGTTTCCACTAATGTCCCTTTGTCTTACCTTTTTAATTTATAGGCTTCCTTTATGTATTTTACCTATTCCCCTCAAAATCTTGTACCATATTCCCTCTGATTCTTTTCTCCTCTAAGATTGTGAGGCTGAGTTCTCTCAAACTGTCCTAATGACTAAAACCTCTCAATTCTGGTACTAAATTAGTTGGAAAGCTTTGAACTTTCTCAAGTTTTTGTTTATGCTTCACAAGGTGTGTGTTCCATGCTGGTGCTGCATACTCAAGTAATGGTCTAAAATATGCAGTGTATAAAACTTTAAAACCCCCCTTGTTTACATTCTTAAATGATGTTCCTATGTTTGATAACTTCAATTATGTTCTTCATTTTAGCCTGTTGACATGAGCATTTGGTGTTAGCATTGGGATTATGTCTACTCCCATTTTTTTTCCCTCTTTTTTTGTTTCTTGTAATTGCCTTCTGCTTATGGTATAGTTGACTATCTGTTGAAGGTTCTGGGATCAATGTTCCCCATGGCCCAGTCTCTGAACAGGCCTCCTGGTTGTTGGTCTGATCCATCAGGCTGTTTGATGCAGATGCTCACAGCCTGACATATGAGTCAAACTGGTTGATCAGGTATCCTTTGAAGGTGTTGCAGTTTGTTTGTTTTTAACACTATGAGAGGTCGGTAAGTTATGCCCCAGATGTGTAAGGGGCATTAAAAAGTATTTAGCCTTTGATGTTGATCAAGTTCTCTCTCAGCATGCCTATTGCACCTCTGCTCTTCAGTGGGGTTATTTTACACATCCTTCTGATCTCATGTAGTGTTATTTATGTGAATACTTGTACTTGGACTTCTAATATTTTTCAAGTGTAGATTATTATGTATCTCGCCCATCTATGCTCTAGAGAACACAAATTTAAAATTATTAGGCTGTCCCAATAATTTAGATATTTTATCGAGTTCATTCTAGCAATAAAGGTTCTTTATACATTTTTCACAACAGCAATTTCTCTAGCATTAAATGGGGCTGTTAGTGTGCAACAATATTCCATTCTAGAGAGCACTAGTGTCTTAAAAATGATCATCATTGGTACTGCAGCTCTTGTTTGGAAGGGTCTTGTTATCTAACCTGTCATTTTACATGCGGCTGTGACAGCAACTTTGCTGTATTCTTTAAAAGTAAGGTCTTCCGACATGATTACAACTAAATTTTTTACATTGTCTTTTCTTTCAATGGCATGGTTTGACTGTATTGTATGTGGTTTCTCCCTTAATGTTTTTGTTTTTTCATAACACAGAAAATGGAACTTTTCCTCATTAAACATCATGTTATTTTCTGTGGCCCATTGAAAAACTTGATTAACATCACATTGGGGGTTTGCTGTGACCTCTATGTTGTCTACTCTCATGAAAATTCTGGTGTCATCTACAAAGGATAATATACAGTAGTACTATAGTTTGTATCCTTGTCTATGTCTGATATAAGGATGAAGAAAAGTACCGGAGCAAGCACGGTACTTTGGGGGACTAAGTTCTTCATGTTGGCTGATTCTGATTTTACTTTGTTGACTATTACACTCTGGGTTCTGTTTGTTAGGAAGTTAAGGATTCACCTCCCTACTTTGCCAGTAACTCCTTTTGTATGCAATAACACCATGGTCACATTTGTTGAAGGCTTTTGCAAAATCTGTGTATATTACATCAGCATTTTGTTTCTCTTCCATCACATCTAAGGCCATGTCATAGTGGTCTATCAATTGTGAGAGGCTGAAGTGCCCTGAACCCATGTTGCCCAGTTATGTAGGCACCAATTCCATGCATTTTGTGATCTTACTGGAAGGTCTTAAATTTATGTAGCCATTAAATTAAAGCCAAATTCAAAAATTTAAGTCAACCTTTTGTGGTCCATCACTACATATAGATACTTTTGACCAAATAGTTACTAAAGGTAATTAAATTTTAGGAGGATGGGCTAATAAATTGAGATGTCTATTTCTTCATCATGATATTATATGGTTGTACACTTGTTCAATTCAGTCTTAACTGTGAAACCTTTTTATATAAATATTAAACATTTCGGAAGACGTTCTAATTCTTATTGTACGAATGCACCTAGGGTGAGTGGCAGCATGCATGTGATTGAAGAAGACTTGCATGGGGTCATATAGCACATAGCCTGTCTACTGTAGAGTCTATTGAACCAGTGATTAAATAATCATAACAAATCTTATGTTCATTTATGATAGGTAAATAAGGTACAGTTACAACTAAAAAAAATATATATATAAACCTGGTTGGGATGTTTCCTCTTGCTGTTTTGACCTGTTTTTTCCTCTTCATCACTAAACCCATCATCACATTCATCCTCACTATCACTCTCATCTCCACCTTTTTCAGAGGTATCACTGCCACTCATCATATTCTCCTCCGAGCTAGACACCTCATTTCCACTGTCTTCTCCACTCTGCAATAAAATTAATGAAACAAAATAAATTCTTAAGTGGAACACTGGTTTAGGTGCAATATTAAATGAATAGAAAACATTTTAAACTTATTCAAGAAATCTTAATTACAATTATACTACTGTATATTGAATTATATCTCTTGACAGCATTCATATTTACAGTATAAGCATTAGGCGTAAGAACCCTAATGTGATCTTATACAGTAACTTCACCACGCTCTTGTGAAACACCTAGATTATAACATAGTTTTGGCCACTATACTATAAAATGGGCTAAAATTATATTGAAAACACAGAGAAATTAACGACTACGCTAATTCTGATTGAATTAAATGAATTACACACATCTGAATGTGTGTAATTAGTTTATTTCTAATTAGTTAGAATTAGGAATGAAATATTTATTTCCACGGAAGTGTGGATCACTAATTCCTCTGAGCTGCAAAATAGGTTAATGTAACTTGAAATGCTGGGGCAGTATAGTTAAAATATTTTATCGTATATCAGCCCCCCACAGAATGAGCATCCTTTATTTGTGGCTTGCACTCTAAAATGCAGAGAACCTGTTAACTAAAATTAACAGGCTAACATAACTAGCAATAAGTCTTACCCCGAAATCCGTCATCTTGCTTTTCATAAACAAAAATAAAAAATAAAATATTTCTTATTCTTGTTTATATGAAAAGAAACCACACGTGTGTCTTCTGTGATGTGATCAAGTCTATTATTATGACCTTATATGCTCTCTTGTTCACACTTTGCGTCTTCGCTCTAATTAGGTGGCTTCTCCCGTAGTCTTGTTCCTGGAGATGCAAGAAGGCAGGATACATATGCTGGTAGCAACCTCTTCTTCTTCTTCGTGATAGTAGGTGCAGTTTGCATGAAGGGCTTGTCAGCGTCTTGTTTACATGCAGCACTGCCTTCACGTGGGCCAGGAACACATACAGCACTGTTGTGCACTTCTCCGCGGCTCTTAAACTGACGCCTGACTTCATTGTTGAAAGTAGCGAGCTTGAGGACTAAAAGTCGCGAATTGATAATAAAAGTAGCCAAATGTGTTATTTTAGCGATTGATATGCTTTTCAGAGTACATAGCTGGCTTATTTATTGGGCCATAGAGCACATATTTGGGCTACATCTAGCCCAATTGGGCTACATCTAGCCCAATCTGGCAACACCATCCAAAACTGTTTCGAACTTTACACAGAGTTTACTTGGATAAATCATTTTTTAAATTTTGCCCTGAGGGGCGAGTTTATTGGGCAGCGCCACACATCTTGTGAGTGGAAAACACGTGTGCCCCCTGTGAGAATCGAACTCACGTCCCCTGGTTTACAAGACCAGTGCCCTACTCAAAACTGTGCGCAACTTCTAAGCGAGTTTTTCGTATTTGACTAAAATTGTAGCTGTTCACGAGAAATTGTTGCTGTTCCTCACTTTACCTAGAACTACATTAGCTATCTAAATATATAACTTTTTAATTTATTTTTATATTTACAGTATATATAGTTCGTTTACGTTCATTTATTATGCACCCCATACCCATCTTGTGGGCGGTAGTGGAAAGGGTTATAAAGCCAGATTGGGCTACAAGTAGTGAATTGGGCTACTTTTGAGAGCCCCGCGCTCCCAAATTTTTAATTTCGCTACTTGCTACTTTTTGGGCAAATTTAAAAGCAAGTTGGGCTAATTTGGGCTATTAATGTTAAGCAACTCAATGATGATTATTTATGGTCAGATGCAACACAAACAAACACCCCGCGATAGCAGCCACAGACTGACAATTTAAATGCGAGCACAGCACGCAGTTAGTTAGTTTAGTTAGTCCCTAATTGGCTGTTGATTGCTGGTAATCAACAGCCAATTAATGCACAACTATATTCAACCCACTTCAAGACTTTGCACCAATATAGAAGCATCAAGAAATATGGGCCAATAGGCCCTTTGCATTTACTTCCATTCTTCCCTTTAATTTTATCCAATATTACCCAATATTTTGTGTTCTATCTTGTGTTGAAAGTTTGTTTTCACCTGATCCAAAACTGTTGTAGCATATCACCTCACCCTAACGAAGGTATATAAAATGAAAAGCTGTAGAACTCTGTTTAGTGTTTGCAGGTTATAGTTGTGTGTGTGTGTAAACTAGTCTTTGAAAATGTAATAAGTTATTACGAAACGCGTTCAAGTGCCGCGTCAGACTAGAAATAAAAATGAATTTTGGAGAATTGATTTTTCAATTACCCTCGACAGTAATATATATATATATACATATATATATATATATATATGATATATATATGTACATATATATACATATATATACATAATATATATATATATATATATATATGTCGTACCTAGTAGCCAGAACGCACTTTTCGGCCTACTATGCAAGGCCCGATTTGCCTAATAAGCCAAGTTTTCCTGAATTAATATATTTTCTTTAATTTTTTTCTTATGAAATGATAAAGCTACCCATTTCATTATGTATGAGGTCAATATTTTTTTATTGGAGTTAAAATTAACGTAGATATATGACCGAACCTAACCAACCCTACCTAACCTCTCTTTATAGGTTAGGTTAGGTTAGGTAGCCGAAAAAGTTAGGTTAGGTTAGGTTAGGTAGGTTAGGTAGTCGAAAAACAATTAGTTCATGAAAACTTGGCTTATTAGGCAAATTGGGCCTTGCATAGTAGGCTGAATAGTGCGTTCTGGCTACTAGGTACGACATATATATATATATATATATATATATATATATATATATATATATATATATATATATATATATATATATATATATATATATATATATATATATATATATATCACGTGTGTGTATATCACGAAAATAAACACGTGATTAAGAATGTGACAATGTCAGACCACGGAGGAAAATGAAACAGGAATTTCCTTAAGTACTTTCGTATATTAAATACATCTTCAGAAGGAATGACTGTCTCATATATATATATATATATATATATATATATATATATATATATATATATATATATATATATATATATATATATATATATATATATATATATATATATATATATATATATATACACACACACACACACACACACACACACACACACACACACACACACACACACACACACACACACACACACACACACACACACACACATATATACATGCACAGTATATGTGTGTGTAAATCACGAAAAGAAGTACACACACCGAATCATTATGTCTGTCTATGAGTCCTCTTAACATCCAACAGCTCCACAAACTGACAATGGCTGCCTTCTGGTACTAATCAACTTGACTATTACTATAGATTAAAAATAAAAGACAGGAGTTTAATAATACAGTAAATTTAATTCTATTATTTATTTACTTGAGTAATTAATTGGAGGATAATTTTGACATCTACAAAAGCAAGAGCAACAAGCAGCCCTTCATGTGAGATACACAAAGTCTCAAATTTCATGAAAAATTCAAAACAAGGAAACTGAACATATTTTGTTGCTGCAGCTGGTTTATAATACAAGTGTTCATATTTACCTGAATTAAGCTGAATTTATAAACAAAGAAATGGCTAAGTGACCTCAATATATGAATATGCATAATAATTCATAATGTACATAAATTAGACTATTTATTAAATTTTTTTATTATTTTATTTATAAATACAGTACAAGAGCTCTTACATTCTTGTAAAGCCAGTAGCATGCATAGCATTTCGGGCAGGTCCTTGATCCTAATTTTCCTGGGGAATGTTACCCGCCAAATCATTAAACAACCAGGTACCAATTCACTGGTGGGTGAACAGAGACTACAGTTAAGGATTGGTACCCAGTCAATCCTCCCCAACCAGGATATATTTTACCACTGTACCACAGAAACCATATATTGTAATTAATTTCCAGGCTAACATTTTCATGTGAAAATGTCAATAGCAATCTGCTCGTTAACAAAATACCTATGAAAAAGAATATATAATGTACTATAAGTGGTACTGTAATATATTTAACCTTTAAATTTTCAAAGAAAATATGGGAAAATAAATAAATAAGGTATTTCACCTAGAAGCTACTGGTACATTACTGTATACAATATGAATAATGCATGAAATTTTGCATATTTCCACATATTTTATATAATACAGTTCTATACTGTACAGTATATATACAATTTTCAGCAGTAATACACCTGTAATTATTATTTTTGGAGGTAAATAGCCATATCACTAGCTACTTACAACATAAAACCAAGACTTTTTTTATGTCTTATTTCAATATTATATTTACTTTATTAACCGATTCTGTTCAAAATACTGTACAGTAATACAAAATTCAGTATTGATAGTAATTTCTATCAATAATAAATTTTATTTCTATATGGAATTCCAGACAAATGTCCTCTCAAATACCGAAAAAAAATAAAATTATCCCTCATCATATCAATGTCAAATAACAATTGCTAAAGTACTGCATTCAAATCCAAAGCTTAAGACTAATGAAATTTATCAAATTAAATCCATTTGAATAGAACCATTCATTCCATTTACATTAAAACAAAAATAAAGTTGCAGAGGAAATATTCAAACATTTATCACATGTAATCCAGTATTTATTTATATTTACAACATTTTACTAACATTCTTGGATTTGTCTCTGATTTACAGTACAGTACTGTATACAATGTGACAAAAGTGATAGTGTCGCAATGATATTCCTTTGATCTTGCAAGGATTTTGTTTTACCTAAACTAAACTTGGCATCCTTACAGGGTCTTGGAGAACACCTCAGAATCTACATTTCATGAATTTGTACATCTAACATTTGACAGATCTCCACATTATGAGCTATAAAATAATGTTGAACTTGTCACACCTGTGCTTCTAGCCACAGAGTAGTGCCAGAATAATCATTAATGATTATAATAAAATATAATAATAATGCCATGTTTCCCTTACCTTCTCTCCCTCAGCACGGTACAGTATCAATTTAACTTGGGTAAAGCTTCCTTTGCAGAGACGTTGTGTACAATTCTGAAGATCCTCTGTGAAGGCAAGACTCTCGACTATGTGCTTTCTCAATCTGTTCCAATGGTTTAGCTTTAGTCTTCATTTATATTTTGTTACAATTTCCTTCACTCATACTCCATGTACTCCATAGATCGCAGAAAGGAAAGTACAAGATAGTGATAGACCTTAAAAACAATAAAAAAGGAATAAAGTATTCTGTAGCAATGTGGGGCTTAACAATAAAAAGAGAAGAAAATACTTATACTGTACAAGCAGATATGATGTATTTTATATAATGTGACTAGTGTACATTGAAAAGAAAATAGCAGTATGTACGAATAAAAAATGAACGGAAAAAAGTATTATGAGAAGAATGGTCAAGCAATATTAATAACAAATTCAGGCAAACCAAGATATATAAAACATTTAGTTAAGCATGGTATGTCTATCATAAATATTACGACGTTGTTCTTGAACTTGTCGCTTCCACTTGTCTTGCTGATGACCCACACGGCCAAGAACATTCGGTCGAACACGGAGAGGCTGAGCCATGCCTGGGGCTCCTCCAACGACTCCAGCATCATCATCTTCATTGGTGTGTTCCTGATATGATGGCTGAGAACGTCGCTTATTGAGCAGTGGGTCCAGGCACAGCAGGAAGCCCATGTACACCACCAGCAGAGAGATGATCCATATTACCAGAATAACTACAACCTATTGTGGAAACAAATAACAATAAATTCTTTATAATCCAAATATATTTCCCAAACATCAATAACATACTAAAATACAAAGTTACTAAATCAATAATTGTATATATAACCTTTATATTTTATATATTAAGATAATGATTTTTCAGTACAGTAGCACCCACTACTGTATACTGTAGTTATTTTCCACTACTGTATTATTTTCAATGGCTGAAGAATAAAATCAAGCCTAGGACACTGGTACACCTCACTGCATCCACAGCTGGCAACAGACCTTTTAAGGTACAATCTATCATGAATATTAGTGCCTATCTTTTCTACAATAAAATTAATGAATTATATAATGTTGTAATGATCTGGGGCTCAGATCATTGGTTCTCCCTTCTCCCCTCTTTTCCCTCTCCTTCTCCCCTCCTTTCCTTCTCCCTCTCCCCTCCTTCCTTCTCCCCTCCCCTTGGCCGTCATTCGTCTCCTCCTCTTCCCCCCCCCTCTCGCCCATTTGTCAGGGTCAAGAGGTTGACCTGAGGGTAGGGTGGTCGTGGATACCTTGGCTTCTCCCACTCAATTCCCCACTCAGATGTTCCCCTCTCCATCCCCTCTCATCCCCTCTCTTTCCCTCTCACCGGCCTCTTCCCCATACGAGGCAGAGTCAAATGTCCCTACTCCTATCTTAGAGGAGACAGGCTTGAACATAAATTATCAGTTTGTAAACATTGCTCGCAGGTGTCTGGGTTCCATAGACGCGCCTTGTCCCCCTTCTCTTTAGCTGGGGTATTGAGTGAAGAGAGACAGAGATTTACAACAGAGAGCGTATATTACGATCACGAGAGATAACAAGATAACAGGATTAATACTGGGAAACTTTGGGTTATTACAATAAAGGCCGCGGTTATTACGGCAGGGTAAGCGGTCGTTACAATGTATATAAGCACTGTACAGGTATTCTATATTTTTATTTCTTATTTACGGATATAGTGATGTGGCAAGATGTGCAAAATAGCCATATTGAAAAAGAGAGGGGCAAAAGGTATGCAGAGAGAGAGAACAAGAGCAACATCAAAGGCCCAAGACTTCTCAACACTCTCCCTATACACATACGGGACATAACTGGCCAACCTCTCACAGTGTTTAAATGACAACTTGATAAATTTAATAAACACATGATGATTTACTACCAAATAAAATGTAGTATGTTTTTTCTATGTTTAGTGTTTGTTGGTTGACATTCATGAGTGGATTTTTTTTTAATTCATTAATAATAATAATAATAATAATTTATTTAGGAAAAGTACATACCAGTACATAGTTGCAGAGTTACAGTACAAACATTCTGTTTGATTTAAAGATAGAGGTAGTACATACAATACCTAAAGCCACTAGTACGCATAGCGTTTCGGGCAAATATTGTTGACAATATTATTTAGTGTAGGGGTTGGGATCAGAATAGATGAAGGTACAGTAGTAGCATTAGCAAATATTAGAATGTTAGAAACATTTGGCAAATCATTGATGTATATAAGAAATAGGAGAAATCCAACGATGGTGCCCTGTGTCCCCCTACTGTCAATGGTAGAGTGGGGGGAGGTTATGCTATTGATGGCTACATATTGGTGTCTGTCACTGAGATAGGAACGAATACAGTCCAGAGCAAGGCCTCGGATACCACAGTGATGAAGTTTAAGTAAGAGGTAGTTATGGTTTACAGTATCAAAGGCTTTTCTCAGGTCAATGAAGAGGTCAATTGGAACTCATTTTTGTCAAGGGCTGTGTCGATTATATTAAACAGGCTAATAATGACATCATTGGCACTCTTTTTGGGAATGGAAGCCAAACTGGCAAGGACTTAATATGTTGAGTTTCACAGAGCAGGAATAGAGCTGTTTGTAAATAATTTTTTCAATATTTTTGAATGTATAGGTAGATTTGATATTGGTCTGTAATTGTTTGTCAGCTGACTTGACTCCTTTATGAACTGGCGTCACTTGCATTTTTAGGGATATCAGGAAACGTATGACACTCTAGAGATTAGTTGAATAGCAAAGCTATGGGCAGTGCAAGAGCTGGGACAGAACTCTTATATATCATAGATGGTATTTCATTAACATTCCCAGCTTTGTTTTTTTAAAGGATTGTATTATGGATATAATGTCTGTTGGGCTGACTGGTAAAAGGAGTAGAGAGTTAGGATAGCTGCCTGTGAGATATGTAGTAACATGTGTCTGGGTCTCTGGGATTTTTCTGGCAAGGTTAGCACCAATTGATGAAAAGAAGCTATTGAATTCAGTTGCAGTATCTAAGTCTGTTGCAAGAGTGTAACCATCTTTAGAGAGTTTTATCTGCTTGATATATGATTGTTGTTTAAACCCTAGGATGTTAGAGATGGCTTTCCTTGTACTTTTCATATTTCCTTTTGCTTCTTTAAATCTATTCTCATAAAAGAAAGCTTTGGCCCTGAAGAAAAGGCAGAATCCATGGGAAAAGCTTCCAAGAAGGAAGTCAGCTGGGTTGACCCAGAAGCCTCGGCAAGAAAATCAGGCTCAACCACCTCCGCGCCCGAATCGGAAGGGGCAGCTCCCGAAGTCACCCAAGCCTCATCCTGAGCTAAATCCCACCCCAACTCCAAAACCCTCAGACGTTTGGGAAACGGAAGCAGGAGGGATAGGGGGTTGGGCAAATCATGCACCTGGGAAGGAAGCAGGGGCAGATGGAACCAAGGTCGAAGTGACCAACACCCCCAAATCCTGGTCCCTAAAATACAAGTGGTACAACTCTGGGGCCTCCAACAAAGGCAACCAACCTGGTGCATTGCAAGGAGAAGTGAGCATGCAACACAGCCGCTGCCTGATTCCTGTGATCAACAGACAAGGAATGAGTAAATTGAAGTACAAGCAGGGAATAAGTCCTGCAAGAATCCGGGTCCTAGGTGTCCCCCCCTCCCCAACAGGCAGCATGATGGAGGCAGTCCGGATGATCATCACCCTGAGGCAGGGGCAACGAGCAATCTTCAACTTCACACAAGGCGAGAGTGAACTCTGAAGAAGTATCCATGGTACCACCGAGTCCACGGGGATTTTCCAGGGGCCCATAAGATAAAGCAGCTCTATGGGAAGCCCAGGCACTGGAGCCAGCTAAGCCGGTAGAACCCCTGTCTAGTAGCAGGCAAACTGACCAGTAACAGCAGTGAAACTTCAGGGGCAACATCAGAGGACCACCAACACCACCTAGTCTAGCCTAATAAGAAGGTAGGCAGACCAACTCTGTCTACAAAAGACAAAAACACCCGAAAAGAACACTAAAAGCCCCCAAAGACACAACAAACAACCTGGCAGTAAGAGAAGCATTTCGCCGTGTTAAGTAAAGCAGGCTGCACCAGCCACAGTATGCCCACCCAGCCAAAAACACTTCCCCATCCGGGGCAAGTTAGAAAGCCCAAGATCCCCAACGTACACCAAGGGCGAAGACAGCCTCAAGCGACGAAGTCCTCTGATGGAGAGTGAGTCCCAAATGTCCCAGGGAAGATAACCCTAGGTGCATGCTGCTCCTGTACAATAAGACACCTGGCCACCACACACACACACACATTCCTGGTACAACCATACCGCACAAAATCCAGAACAGGAACTTGAGAGCAGAAGTGACCAACCTGACCACCAGCACATCAGTTCAAGAACTGGAGTGGTGGGCTACCGGCTTCCCCTAGCACTAACAAATGGGAGTGCTAGTTACATGAAGTTTTCGCTTATTTGGTTTCTTTCTGGGGGAGTTATTTTGATCTTTTGGGATGTAGATTGCACAGGTTAACCAGACAGTGGTCTGTTTTTAATTTGCCTACCTTTCTGGATTTTTTTCCAGGTCGATGGCAATTATGACTTAGTTTAAATGTAAAGTGCTCATAGGCCATTGCTCCCTGTGCCTCTCTGAGGGGGCCAGGTTCTGGCTTGTGGTCCCCAGTAGGCATAAGGACTCCTGTGACTGATGATTCCAAACTAATATAGCACATATCAGTTCAGACAGCTTCTGGGAACTGATAGGGCTCCCCACAGAAAACCATGTTGAGCATAATGAAATGCTAGTTTCTGGGTAAGCCCCGGAGACTCCCTGAAGCTATCATACGCTGATCAGTGCCTTGCTACTTAGTGCTATCATTGGTGGTTCCATGGGTTTATAACCCTATGGGTGAAAAAGCTTCTTCTGTTTTCTGTCCTACATTGTGGCATGTTGAACAACTTAACTATAATCATTAAAAATTAATGCAGAACAGTTAAAAAGCTTACCTTGATGGTCGTGCTGTTCCGGCTCTCATATTTACATTCACAGCGAGGACAGAATTCCTGCTCACGACCCCTGATATCATCAGCAACTTTAGGCAGAACTACATTGTCGCAGTCACTGAAAAGAAGAAAATAGAAAATGCAATGTACAAAAATTTTCCTATACAGTATAGTACTTTGTCCATTTGGCTGTGCATGTAATTACTGAAGTCACAGAATGAGAGCTATACTCGTGGTGTCCTGTCATCTCTATAATCTTTGCCATATGACACTTTGAAACTCTTGGTGGTTTTGATATCTACTACCTGCTCACCTAAGTTGCTCCAATCATCTACAATGCTGCCATTTTAGGGGACCTGTGTTTCCTTTAGCTTTAATTTATGTGCATGCATGTGTGTGTGTGTGTGCATGCATCAATCCATGTAATCCTTTTTGTGTTCATGCATATTTTATACACACAGGATTTGAATGAAAAGATAAATGTGACTTACCACTTGCTAGGGGCTACGGGATCTTTGTATACCATACGATTGCTCTTGGTCCCGTTGACAACAGATGGATCAGGACAGATGCAAATACACCTCTTGTCTTCATACTCAGCCTAAAAAAAAAAAACAGGCAATAGTTCTTAGTTTAATTTGGATAGCTCAGGTTAAGTTAGAATAAGTTAGATTGAGATATGTTATTATAAGTCAAAATGTGTTAAGTTTGGTTTTATTAAAAAGTAGGGATGATGTAGAACTACTAATCTTGGAGCTTTATTTAGAGCGCCTTTTTTCCTTTGGTAACAAGTGGCCAAAACTGTTAAATATTAAAGTCCAACTGAAAAAGATCATCAGAGCAAACGGGGAGACCTTCGACAAGCCGCCAGCTTCCAGTTCTCGTCGAGGCCACTAATGTTAGTGGTTCTCGGTAAATTTATTTTCCATACCTGCTTGATGGGGTTCTGGGAGCTCTTCTACTCCCCAAGCCCGGCCCAAGGCCAGGCTTGACTTGTGAGCGTTTGGTCCACCAGGCATAAGAAACACACATAGATTATTTTCTTGAGCATTTCCTGTGGGTGTGGCTCAGATATACCCGATATTAACTCATGCAGATGATCGCAGATATGAGGAGTAGCTTTCAAAAATCTTACCTTTGCCAAAGCAGCACAATAAGCCAGAAAAACAAATATGAAGAGCAATTTAGGGAGCATCCTGGCAGCCTCCATTGCTGTCACCCGGACATAAACACACAGCGTTCACCATTCATCTCAAGTTCTGTTTTTTTTAGTTATATATATTTATAATATATTTGAAAGCTATAAAACCTCAATTATGTTGTTATTTGTTCTTTTTAAACGTTCTAGTATACTAATTGTAATGAAAAATTTGATAAAATTAAAATAATCTCTTCGAATGCATATTAATACAATACAATACAATACAATACAATTTTATACAATACAATTTTATTTAGGTAAGGTACATACATACAATAAATATTTACAAGGATTGTTTAACTTATAGGTATAGCTAGTACATACAATGCCTAAAATCAATGTACATACAATGCCAATAGGATATTATGATTTTTAGAATTTTAAATAGCTCTTCTATAATAGTCGTAATATTGACAGTTATATAATATAATACAAAATCTACTAAATAAATCCTAAACCAATATGCCAGAATATCAACAGCAATTGAAGTGTGAAATAAACCAATTTGACCGGGTATTAGACACGTCCGGAAACATAGAGTAAAAAGATAATCCAACTCATCATTAGGGTAAGAAAACAAATCTAAAAAATCTAAAAAATTATTTTTTCAGTCAAATTTCCTGATAGTTTTAAGTTAGGAGGCGTGTAAACACAGGTGGATCAGCTGATCCTCGTCAGGGGGCGGAGAGGGAGGAACCCAGCAGGTGTGTGAGTGAGGTGTGACAGGTGTGTGAGTGAGAGGTGTGTGACAAACCTGTGTACATGTGGTGGCTTAATTGTAACTAGATCTAGCAAGAGAAACTGACCGCAAGAGGCAACCAGACTCTTAACAAGGCATCCCGGGTGTGAGGTAGGTGGTCATATGAATGGGCGGGTCTCGCCGCTTCCATTGACTTGTTTTTTTTTTTTATTTTTTATTAGTATTATAACTGCTTTAGATCATAAATTGGCAACTTGTGTGGCTCTGAGAAATATAGACACACGATGTAGACTAGACAAGGGTAGTGACAAGTGTTCACCAGAGCACGAAAGAGACGCGAACAAGGGGACACAGGTGGAGGCTGAGTACCCAAAAGGGCCACAGGGATGTTAGAAAGAACTTCTTCAGTGTCAGTGTAGTTAACAGGTGGAATGCATTAGGCAGTGATGTGGTGGAGTCTGACTCCATACGCAGTTTCAAGTGTAGATATGATAGAGCCCAGTAGGCCTAGGAGTCTGTACACCAGTTGACAGTTAAGAGGGACCAAAGAGCAAGCACAACTAGGTGAGTACCTCCTGTGGCTGGTTAAGGGCTCCACAGTAATGATTTTTGTCATTAAGGTAAGGTAATTATCAGGAGAAAGTGCAATAAGTCATTTTGAGAATATAGCACTTGGGAGATAAAGATTTAGGAAAGGACGAAGATAAAGAATAGAGCCCAACCACTTGGGCTGTTGGGGATCGAACGTGGACCTGCTAGAAGCGAGACTGCTTTACCATCCAGTCCAAGTGGCTGGACTACTATTTGTTAGTACAGTATTACAAAGTACTGTATTGGGGAATAAGTCCAGGGGAGCTGAACTATTAGTATATGAGAATGTTACACACAGGCTTGGTACAGGGGTGGGGAACCTGCAGCCACATGCACCCTTTTGTGAATTGTGAGGCATCATGTGATCATCTTAGAGAAGTCTAAATTTTGCATAGGAAATTCTTTTTATTTTATATTTAAAATAAATTATTATATCCTTATATTTTTGTTCTCTTTTATAACTAAAAATAACATAAACAAAAAAAAATTAAAAATATACTGGTAATACTGTAGAAATCCATTTTTTTTATTTATATGTATTGTATATACAAGAGTTTACACATAATTGGAAAGCAACTAACACACATAGCATTTCGGGCAGGTCCTTAATCTTAATTTTCCCTGGAATACAACCTGCCACATTGTTTAACAACCAGGTACCCATTCACAAGAGATTTGTGCAGATTTGTGGTTTGGGATAGTTCCAATATTGGGGACAGAATTTCTGTGGTTTATTGAGGTTTACCAAGTCATTGGTAAGGCTGTGCACATGGTCATCCAGCCAATCACTGGCCAAATCAAGTAGTACTTGAGTGATACATTTAATGTAGACATTGCCTTTCTCATTCATGAGAACATGTTAATGTAAATATGTTGTTGTTAAGCCATTTATGTATCTATATCCATTTTTAAGTTTTGTTTTCTGTTTCTTCTTTTCAAGAGATCAGAATATGTTTGAGAGACAACAGTGATGGACCTCCTTGCAGAAAACAATGTATGTGGGCAGGCATTGCTCCGTCTGGTTGCACGGGGCAATGCTATTATTGCTGAACTGATGCGGCTGTCTGGCTATGTTCCTCAGGTTTTCAAGTAAGCTTTTGAGTATCACTTATTTTAATATCTTCCCTTCCAAATTCTTTCTCTTCCAGTATTTCATGTCAATCATCTCTATCAAATTCCTTACCCCTATAAATATTTTAAAATTTTATATTGAAAGAGGAATGTGCTTCTCTGGGTGAGCTCCATGATGGCTCCCTGAAGCTATCTTTCCAAGTTTGCTTGCTCCATGCTGAAAGGTTACATCAGTTGCAAAAGTAATATTTGGCCTTCCAGGGTCCAGGGCCAGAACCTGCTTCCCCCCCCCCCCCCTCCTATTCCCTTAAGAGGTGCAAGGACAGAGTCACAGCTTACCAACCCACCAGGAAAGCCTCCAGAAAGTCAGTGAAACTTTACAAACAACTGAAGGGTTTCCTTCATTTTCCACAGAAAATGACACCTTGAAAATTGGCAAATAACTTGGCAAAGGTTTCATGCAGAACAAGGGATTAACTCAGACTAGCAAAAAACTTGTAAGTACAGATTGTCACCACCAGGCAGCCCAACCCTGCCTGCAACTGGCTCCTTTGGTCATTTCTGCAACTGATGCTATGGTGGAAGGTTCTACCAGTAGTGCAAGCTAAATTTGCTTAGGTTAGGTGTTTGTGTTATATTGATCATCTGGATTCCCCAGAGTTGGCCCTTGTGGTGTTTGGTGACCTCACCTGGATTTAGTCTGCATCACCTCTAACTTTTCCTGTGGGTGTGGTTTGCCCTGCTTCTAGTTTTCTGGCTTGGAAGTGTCTGAGGGTTTCAGAGTCAGGTCAGGATTTATCTGAGGGTTTCAGAGTCAGGTCAGGATTTATCTGAGGGTTTCAGTCAGGTCAGGATTTATCTGAGGGTGTAACTTGGCTTTTTCTGGGGGTGGTGTCATCTATTTTGATGATAAAAGCAGTTGAGCCTTCTGGTCTTGCTGCGGTTTCATCACATTCACTTTCACAACCGTACCTCCTTGCTCCAAATTTTCTCCTTGGGAGGACACCTTTCTTTTTCAGGTGTTTGGTAAAGGCTACAGGGCTCTGCGCTGTAGCCTTCATGGCAGGCTTCTGTGGCTGAGGGTTCCGTTGGACCTGCACACTTGATTGGCATGAGGTGAGTTTCGTCTTTCAGGAGTTCTTGGGTGGTGCTTCTTCCCAAGGATGTGGGCAAATGGCAACTCCATGTGTAGCTATCTTTGTTGTCTGTGCCCTTATTGCAAAGAACCACAAGGTGTGTTCCCACTTGGCAGTGGTCTTGTGTGTTTGGGTCATCATGGATAATCTGAGGCACTCCATGTGGACATGGCATTGCTTGGTTCCACTCTGGGTGTGGAGGCCTTGAGGACTGCAGTTTTGCCCCTGGCAGCCTTGTTAACCCTTAAACTGCGCAACGCGCCTGCAGGCTCACGTCTGGTTTGCGCAACGCGCCTCCGGGTATTTGTATTTTTCACGTTCCATTCAAAACTCCCGCGGCTACATGGGGTTCACATCAGCTTCCTCAGGGCTCTTGTAAACAGACGCCATCTTAAAAAAAAATCGTGGTCCACATTCCCGGGTGTGGGAGCCTCAGTAGTGTGTGAGCAACCAAGGCTGGCGCTCGCAGCATGAGCGCACAGCACTGCTGTTCAGCATGTGACCACAGCATCGCCTAATAATGTCAAAATATATATATAACTTGTATTATTTAGCTATGATAGTGTTATATTAGAGCCTGAGTGTGATAATGACTGGGTACAATGTTCAAATATCAGTGATTCAATGCTGTTCACGATGTTCACAGCGCTAGCCACAGCACCACAGCATTATTTCGTTCATCTAGGAATCTTCAAATGATTTCTTAGGTTCCTTTTCAAAATAAACGTGTGGTCAATTATTCATTTACAGGAATTAGTGACCAGGATTGTGATAATAGCAGGAATGTGGTTATAATTAGCGTTGTGCGTAGTATTGTGGAAGGAGGAATTTTGATGAGGGAGGGAGGGCGAGAATTGAGGAAGCCTCATTGTGTGTGTGGCTGCCACTCTTGTTTTGCTCACCATACTAGCTTAGTGGTTCGCTATGGGCAACACATATGTACATGGGTATATATAGTGTAAGAACAGCAACAGGAGAATGTTGAGAGGAGCTATTTTGGTGAGGGAGGTGACGTAATCGTAGCGTCGTCTGCTGTGTGATTTTTCATGCAGTGTATGGTGGCCACTGTACTGTTTGGACACAATACCGGCTTACTTACATAGTTCTGGTAAATAAAACATGTAGATAGGTATATAGAACATGTGTAATAAGAACTATAACAATATGGTGGGAGGAGCAATGTTGGCGAGTAAGATGTTGGAGTGAGGGAGACAGGCTGGGTGTGGCTGCTCTCACTCGAGGTGTTCTGAATGTGTTGATGGCCAAATGCTCTTGTTGGCCCATACGAGGCAGCTGCTATTGGCCCATACGAGGCAGCTGCTGTTGGCCCATACGAGGCAGCTGCTGTTGGCCCATACGAGGCAGCTGCTGTTGGCCCATACGAGGCAGCTGCTGTTGGCCGATACGAGGCAGCTGCTGTTGGCCGATACGAGGCAGCTGCTGTTGGCCCATACGCGGCAGCTGCTATTGGCCCATACGCGGCAGCTGCTATTGGCCCATACGCGGCAGCTGCTATTGGCCCATACGCGGCAGCTGCTATTGGCCCATATGCGGCAGCTGCTATTGGCCCATACGGGGCAGCTGCTATTGGCCCATACGGGGCAGCTGCTCTTGGCCCATACGGGGCAGCTGCTATTGGCCCATACGGGGCAGCTGCTGTTGGCCCATACGGGGCAGCTGCTGTTGGCCCATACGAGGCAGCTGCTGTTGGCCCATACGAGGCAGCTGCTGTTGGCCCATACGAGGCAGCTGCTGTTGGCCCATACGAGGCAGCTGCTGTTGGCCCATACGAGGCAGCTGCTGTTGGCCCATACGAGGCAGCTGCTGTTGGCCCATACGAGGCAGCTGCTGTTGGCCCATACGAGGCAGCTGCTGTTGGCCCATACGAGGCAGCTGCTGTTGGCCCATACGAGGCAGCTGCTGTTGGCCCATACGAGGCAGCTGCTGTTGGCCCATACGAGGCAGCTGCTGTTGGCCCATACGAAGCAGCTGCTACGCGGTGTTCTGAATGTGTTGATGGTGAATGTATATAGTGTGTAAGTAGATTGTATATATACACAAATTAGCATGATACATAGTAAATATGTGCTGCATATGTGTACACAAGTTTCATGCACGTAACACAGTGTCTACGGACAGTACGGATGTTGTACTGCGATATTATAGTGTATGTGTTCATTATACATTGGATTGGCACATAAAAACAATGAAAATGTATTTGGAAAGGTGCGCAAAAAATGAACGAAAATATATTCGCGGCAACTCGCGCGCCCCGCCCCGAGCGCCCCACCGCCCCTGAGAGCTTACGGCACGGGCGCACGGGGAATGATGACATCACGCCCCAACTTCCGGACCCCATAGCAGCCAAAGTAAGTACAATTTCGCCTTTTTTTTTACATACCCATACTGAGGGAAGGGTTTTTGACACTTTAAAAAGAAAAAAGAATTTTTTCCAGAGAATTTATTTCCTGCGCACTGCGGGGGTGTCACATTTGGAGGCAACGCAGTTAAGGGGTTAAAGGTGCATTTCCCTCAACCTTTGGGAAGTAGTGGCGTCATACTACATGGCCTACCTTGTATTTCGAATGGCTGTATTGGCCGTTGTATTGTTATACTTGGCTTGGTCCCCTTACCCATTTGTCCATCTCCACTTTTTTGTCTCGTCTTTCCTGAGGATGTCATTGCCCAGATTTTGTCTGTGGCAGCTTTCTCTTGTCCCTCATCGATTATTTGCTGTTTTCTTGCGGTTCTTTCGTCTCTCAGAGGCTAAAGGACCTCAGATGGAGATCTCGCCAACTGTTTGTTGAGGTAGATCTTCTATTGGGTCTGATTCCCGGGCCATTGCACTTCTTGCTGTGAATTCATCTTCTGCTTGACATCACAACTATGTACCATGGAAAGATGGTTCTGCTGTTCTGGTAGTTTTCCTTGGTGTTTACTGGAGTCGATTGGTTTCTCTCCTGTTCTTGGGGTTGGGTCCTGCTTATTAGGAGTCCTTCCTGGTACTGTATTGGGTCATTGCATATTGGTTGGACTCAGGTGTGTGGTCAAGGTGACATTGTCCCTTCAGTGGGTGATCTAGTTGTTCCCGGTTCCAACATGGGATTTGACAGACTTACGGTACATCCTTGATCCTTTGGCATTGAACAACTTCATTTCCCTGTCCAGCCTTCTGCATGACCACAAGTTCATGACCACAAGAACTTTGATACAAGTTTACTTGCTACTACAAATTGGAGCTTGGATGGTGTCTCTGAATATCGATTGTCATGCACACTTCCGTAGAAATAAAGACTTCCGGTTGATAAACTTTGGCCTCACACATGTGGAGTCCATGGTTCAAGTCTCCTAGAGCCCAGTTGAATGGAATAAAAAATGCATATTGTAACTTTACATCCCAACACTGTACATTACAGGTTCAGGGACTGGTTATGTTTTATTGAGTGTGGGGGGGGGGAAGGCATAAGACTTACCACTTTAGGGCTATCCCCTTTTATTTGAATCTGGTCCTCTGTGTAATTACCATGTTGGCACAGGTCCTTGTGGCTTGCCTGCATCTCTTCAGGGTTCATGTGTTGGATTACCTCGATAATTGACAGATGTGGGCTTCCTGTCAATTCATGTGTCACCTGTCCAGGTATTAGGCTCTTTCCTATCTTTCCCACCTCTCTGGATTCCCCCTGGGAAAGATCCATATACAACATAAACTTAGTAAATGAAATTATCAATTTGTGATTTAGTTTTTTTATATTTTAGATTAGCAACCAAGGCGGAACAGCAAAAATATGGAGACGTTGTTCTTGATTTCACGTATTTCAAGGCTTCGGAGGGATTTAATAAGAAAATTGAAGATTCATCAGTAAGTACAGTATTTGGCTGGATGATCATATGGTTTAAAAAAAAATCAGTATAATTGTGTTAATTCATTTCACTTATGTCATAGTTCTCCTAACTATGCAATTATAGTTGTTCATAGAAATTAATGAATTTTAGATACCTTGTACCTATACTGTCCACTACTGTATTATATCTGTCATAAATCACTTCTATTTTATTACGCAGGTCCTACTTGATATTGATGATGAAATCCGTGAAAGCCATAGCAACATTTTAGGGAGAATTTATGCAGTATTTGAGAGCATTCACCGATATGTGACGGACCTTATTAGTTTCTTGCAAGATCTGAGTGAGGGGACGTTTATTCAGAGAACTCTGGAAAACATGTTCACCAATGAGGATGGGAAGCAACTTATGGTAAGATAATGAACTCTGTATGTGTGTGTGTTACCCATCTTGGAGTTGCTTGGAGGAAATTCTGATTACATTGGTAAAGCTGTGTGTAACCCACCTAATTACTTGGAGGACTTAAGTTCAAGATTAAAGCTATTCTGTTATATCCTCCCTCTCACTGCAGTACTCGTTTCTCTTGTCTTGGCAGTAACTTGAATCTCTGGGTAATTGGGCCAGATTCACAGCCCAATTTGACCATCTCTTGATTCAAACAGAATCCAAATTATGACGCTTAGTTGATGAGTTTCGGTATGATTTTCCTGCTAAAATAACCAATCCCAACCCTGTGGCTAGCCATGTGTTTCTGCCCTCTAGTGGGATACAACAAGGTGAAATCCATATGAGAAAGACTTTAATGAAATTTGTTCAATATCAACTTTGTTGGCTTTTAGTGATGGCGATGCACTCTATAGGAACATCATTCATTATGTCTAGAATTTCATTAATGAATTGTAAAGTACTGTTTATGCTTGGTAATTCAGATCATATGAGGCCCATCCCCATCCGAGTTACATTCTCACATGCAGTCAACAATTTACATGGGTTTAAGGGGATCTTCATATACAATATGACTGAGCACATACAGTACTGTACTCAAATAATTTATTGACAGTAACAGAAATTTCAAATTGCCTTGTTGTAGTTAGCTTACTTGATAGAGTATTCTTTATTTACCTAACCTATCACTACAACACTAAAATTACTCTACATAGCTAATTGTTATGTATCGCGTGTATTTGTTTACATTTACTGTCACAATATCAGAGATGGTACTCATGCCTACACCAAAATCTTTTGTAGCACTTGCAGCAGAACGGATATTTTCACAATGTTCAATCACCCATAGATAAACTTGAATGGATTGTGTAATTTATCTTGAATGGATTGCATACATGAGGCTCACATCTTCTTAAGCCTCCAGTAACCATCCCCCATCTTGAAAGAAAAATCTGGAGAACTTGGTTTCCTTATAAGGATTTAGTAAAAAAAAAAAAGTGAGTACCATATCTAGCAACATCATCATCTAGTGTCTGAAGGTGCAGGGCAGCCATACTGGGAGCCCCTGAACGTTTAACAGCAAATGAGTGATTACCACGTCTATATTTAAGGCAAAATGTGCCTGAATAAATACATACATATATATACTGTGTGTTTACTAGTTGTGTAAATACTGTGTGTGTGTGTGTGTGTATGTATATATATATTCTGCTATATATATATAGCAGAATATACACACACACACACACACACACACAGTATATATATGTATGTATTTATTCAGGCACATTTTGCCTTAAATATAGATGTGGTAATCACTTATATATATATATATATATATATATATATATATATATATATATATATATATATATATATATGTCGTACCTAGTAGCCAGAACTCACTTCTTAGCCTACTATTCAAGGCCCGATTTGCCTAATAAGCAAAGTTTTCCTGAATTAATATATTTACTATAATTTTGTTCTTATGAAATGATAAAGCTACCCTTTTCACTATGTATGATGTCAATTTTTTTTTATTGGAGTTAAAATTAACGTAGATATATGACCGAACCTAACCAACCCTACCTAACCTAACCTAACCTATATATATAGGTAAGGTTAGGTTAGGTAGCCAAAAAAGCTAGGTTAGGTTAGGTTAGGTAGGTTAGGTAGACGAAAAAACATTAATTCATGAAAACTTGGCTTATTAGGCAAATCGGGCCTTGCATAGTAGGCTGAGAAGTGAGTTCTGGCTACTAGGTACGACATATATATATATATATATATATATATATATATATATATATATATATATATATATATATATATAAATATATATATATATAAATAAATATATATATATAAATAAATATATATATATATATATATATATATAAATATATATATATATATGTCGTACCTAATAGCCAGAACGCACTTCTCAGCCTACTATTCAAGGCCCGATTTGTCTAATAAGCCAAGTTTTCATGAATTAATGTTTTTTCGTCTACCTAACCTACCTAACCTAACCTAACCTAGCTTTTTTTGGCTACCTAACCTAACCTTACCTATAAATATAGGTAAGGTTAGGTTAGGTAGGGTTGGTTAGGTTCGGTCATATATCTACGTTAATTTTAACTCCAATAAAAAAAAATTGACCTCATACATAGAGAAAAGGGTTGCTTTATCATTTCATAAGAAAAAAATTCTAGTAAATATATTAATTCAGGAAAACTTGGCTTATTAGGCAAATCGGGCCTTGAATAGTAGGCTGAGAAGTGAGTTCTGGCTACTAGGTACGACATATATAAATATATATATATATATATATATATATATATATATATATATAATATATATATATATATATATATATATATATATATATATATATATATATATATATATATATATATATATATATATATATATATATATATATATATATATATATATATATATATATATATATATATATATATATATATATATATATATATATATATATATATATATATATATATATATATATATATATATATATATATATATATATATATATATATATATATATATATATATATATATATATATATATATATATATATATATATATATATATATATATATATATATATATATATATATATATATATATATATATATATATATATATATATATATATATATATATATATATATATATATATATATATATATATATATATATATATATATATATATATATATATATATATATATATATATATATATATATATATATATATATATATATATATATATATATATAATATATATATATATATATATATATATATATATATATATATAAATATATATATATATATATATATATATATATATAAATATATATATATATATATATATATATATATATATATATATATATATATATATAAATATATATATATATATATATATATATATATATATATATATATATATATATATATATATATATATATATATATATAAATATATATATATATATATATATATATATATATATATATATATATATATATATAAATATATATAAATATATATATATATATATATATATATATATATATATATATATATATATATATATATATATATATATATATATATATATATATATATATATACAGTGGTACCTCGCATAACGATTGCCCCAAAAGACGAATATTTTGGGTAACGAACGGCCCGATCGGCGTCAAATCGTCCCGTATGACGAACGCTGGTTTGAGTAACGTCAACACCACATGGTGGGGTCGCGCTGCTGCTTGCACATTCTTAGACGCCTCCGACGATGCACATAAATTATGTTGTTCTTGTTTAAAGATGCTAATGATGCTGAGATATAAAAGGGTGACTGCTGAGATGTTGCAAAGCATTGACGTTTTTGTAGGAAAAAAGAAATGAAATATCTGATATACAACAAATGTCAAAAAAGTTCGTTCGGTGTTCGGCAGGTAGGCTGCTCCATTATAACAATCTTTCTTTGTTTCAAATGTGTTCCATTTGTTTTTTATTTGTCATTTACGTCTCAATAATGGAGAAGCCTACCTTACATACACTGAATAAACCATTATGACATTTTCCTTTCTTCAAATGTGTTCAATATTTATTTTTCATTTGTCTTATAGCAAATGGTTCGTTCGGTGGTCGGCAGGTAGGCTGCTCCATGTTTCTTACATACAAAAAACGTAAATAATAAAAAATATGAAGAATTTTGAAAACCAGTACAAATGTCAAAAATGTTCGTTCGGTGGTCTACAGGTCGACTGCTCCATGTTTCTTAAAAAAAAAAAAAAAAAAAAAAACGAAAAATAAAAGAACTGTTGAAACAATTTGAAAAATGGACAAATGTCATAAAGGTTCGTTCAGTGTTTGTCGGGTAGGCTGCTCCATTATTGAGACGTAAGTGATAAATACAAAACAAATGGAACACATTTGAAACAAAGAAAGATTGTCATAATGGAGCAGCCTACCCAACAAACACTGAACGAACCTTTTGCTATAACGAATATGAAAGACAAGGGCTGCTGGCTGGGTTAGTAGTGCGTGAGCAACCATTTGTAGCACACATGCCTCTGGCTCTCAAACACCTGTCCCACACGGTGTTGAAAGACTGTACTCAGTCAGTGCAATTCAGACCCTATTGTTTGAAGAACATAAGGGTCATAACATTGGTGAAGCTAGACGCAATAAGGGCTTAACACAACGGTCGGATGCCTGTGATACAGCACCTATGAGGATGATACAGCGAGCGTATCCAGGTGTAGCTCTGAGCCCCACCCTTGCCATCTCTAATGTATATAGATGATACATAGATGAATCGTTTTCTGCGTTCAGTGATGATGCATCTGATACAAGTAGCATAGATGAACAGTGTAAGCGGCATCCATGGTGGTGGTGTTCATTGATATTTTTAAGAATACCTGAATCTTTTCCTGACTGATGGACACTCTTTGAGGCTAGCTGAATCTCTTCCTGACTGATGGACACTCTTTGAGGCTAGCTGAATCTCTTCCTGTGTGGGACCTTACAAAGCGATCTTTTCAAGACTACCTTACAAATTGAGCTTTTCCTATAATCGTTTCAATACTACCTTATGCTTTACAAGCTTGGCTACATACCACCTACAAGTACTAAAGCCAAGGGTGCATGCGAGTGCATTATTTGCAAGCACACATAACGATGAAACAGGAAACAAAAATCTATCTGTAGCTGGTGCAAGGAGAGCAAAGTCGCGCTGTGTACCATGGACTACTTCGTTGACTATTACGCACCTCCAAAGTACTGAGTGTGTAATACAGTGTGTTACTGTGTAAATAGTATGTGAAACTGTACATATTGTAATATTAGTGCATTTTTACCACGTAATATTGTGACAATAAACATTTATTGTGGACACATTACTGACACATGTATCA